TAGCCACTTGCAGGATACTGTCTGGAAATGGAGTCAGTCAAGCATAGCTGAGCGACATTAAAGTAGCAGGGGCAGCCTTTCCATCATGTGTATACATAGATAGAAACAAATATGTGTATACTGTGTATATACAGTATGTATATATATATATATAAATAGCTTCTCTGTCTATAGCCGTCCATTTTAATTGGCTTTATTACCATAATCATTTGACGGGAACCTTTTCGTCTTGATGGGTGACCTTATTAATATGTACAAGAAACTGACACAATCCTGGAAATGAAGCAGGCAGCTCGGACGACCCATTAACACCGTCCACGCTGCCCCACCCGCCCCCTACCCGCCCCATGGTACAAGCTTACCCCTGATGAGCACATCAAGGCCGCCATGTAGACCGGCTAGTTGATGAGGGGACGCCTCAGCATTGTTCTGTACGTGGCGTTCTTTAGAAGTATTTGAAGATACAATTGGAATGACTGGAACTTGAAGTTGATGGAATCACAGGAGGGGCCGATTATCTTCTACGTAGCCCGCCTTGGTAGGGTTGGATTATTATTCCTGAGAGAAAAAAGGCTGATGGGGAAAGAATGAAGTAAAACTCGGGGCAATGGGAATCAAATCATCCTAACAGATTACTCAAGACTCAGAAGTTCAGGGTGAAGAATGGGAAATTGTAAAGAGAAGTTTCTCGGCATCTGTTGTGGCGTCGTTGTATTTTGCAAAAAGGAATGAGGATGCGGACATTATCCTGCACCTCTGTTTGCAACTTCCATTTTTCTAATATTTCCATTAATATGAACACAGTATCCGAGCAAATGGGATTTATTCTATCACGCTGTGATGCTCCAGTTTATGATCAATGATGGAGAATATGAAGACCGGGATTACAAGACAATACCCAGGACCTACTCGAGTCTGCTTCTCTGTGGCACTATGAAGATTTTTGACAAATGGTACACAATGAATTTAGTTATTGGTTGCATAAGAAGGCCTAAGGTTGTTCATTCAGTCACAGTGGTGGAATCGGACGATGCACAGCCGGCTCACCGGGATCCCCACCATGACACCCAGAGCTTTTTATTTCCAATCCAATATCGTTGCATGAATAACGGTAGTAGGACAGTTTTGACTTTCATAACTACTCAAACAACTTTTTCTACTAATGATAACTGTGGTCCTAAATAGGTCCATGGCCAATGAAAGCAGGATAAGACACAATACTTTTGTTTGTAGGTAAAGTTCATGTAGAAAAGTCACCTTGCCACACATTTCAGAACCATCTGATGGGACTCTGATGGACTTTTGCACAGTGTCATTGTATTAATCTACTGAGTGGCCTAAGGGCTGCCTGCGTAATTTTGCTCTATCTATCTACTGCTATGACGAGTCACAAATGACCAAATAAAATAAACGTCTATCAAGCCTGCAGATTTGCCATGAAGCCTGCAGAGTTTGTATGCAGTGTAGCTTCTCGCCGTCTCGATGATTGTTTCGTTCTATCTGTAAATGGGACGGGAGCAAAACATTGTCACTTTGGCCACCTGCTGGTTAAGATAAGATTGTCTTTCCTTTCTAATTAACAAACAATATCACATCTGTGGGAAACAAGCCATCTGTGCATCTGCGTGTGTGTTTTTGTGCTTTGAGGGTATTTGAAGGGTCCATCACAGCCCCCACCGCCTGAAACATAAGAAGCTTTGAGAAGCAGACGTAAGTGGCAGAGGAGGTGTGCGGAGGAGAGGGGCGATAACGGGGAGCTGTGGGTTTCCACGCGCCGTCCGATGCTGCGTGTCTGCACGATTGGCTCCGGCTGCCTGAGTGGGAGCAGCCGTCTCCTCTCCGGCATGGAAGCCGGCTCGTTATGCAGCCACACAGATATACGGGACCGGGGGGGGGAGGCTCAGGGAGCCCGATTGGCAAAAAGAATCACAGGTACGCTTCGAACAGAGCGTACGCAAAGCTGGCCGGAACTGATTTGCAAGAGCTTCTATTGCAATGCGCAGGCAGACCGCCTGATACTGCCGTCGTTCCACTGCACCAGAGGAATAGTAAATACTGCCACTTGAAATCATTTCCTCCTGGCTTACCTAAAAGAAGGATTTCCCTGATTGAGTTTGTTGCACAAACTGTCTGTTCTTTTGGGATGGGTTTTGTTTCACCAACCCTTCTACATTCATTTAATGAACTCATCATTTACAGCCCGTAAATGTTCTATAGAGGGAACAAGTGCTTGTTTTTTCAAATTCCGCATTTCTGATTTCATTTCAGTCCGACGTCTTGAGTCTTGTTTTTGGCCGTCATTCATGAGCAATGTGCAGAGGAGCTTCGTGTCACCTGGCAGAGGCTAAACGTTGTCTCTCGTCCACATTTCTGAAGGTGCCAAAGACTGCATGTGACAAATGCGGTAAAAATTGTGGAGGCTTTTGGGGTGAATTTGTGATTTTGCACTAAAAACATGAAACAACCCGACTTCAGCACAATGTTATCAGGAGCAAATAACGACCATGAAGTGCAAATTACAAGGCAGCTTTCAATGAAGTGGAATTTTCTTTTAATGAAGAAATCCTGGAACATTTGCACTTGATTCTCTCCTGAGCAGCTTTATGGAGCGCTCACTGTTTACTGAATATTGAAGCTTATTTCTCACTGGAAATAATCTATTTTTCTACCTTCGCTAACACCTTTGAAGAAAGGCAAACTGCGCAGAGGTTCAGGTGAATATAAAAGATAGTAATTAGTATTTTATCGCACTTTTTTCTCTTGTGCTACACACTGTTTACTTCTTGTCTTTGTCTCACTGTCTCTCCACAACAATACAAACAATTAAAGCAGGGTCTCCGTGATACATTCACACACAATAAATAGCACGCCTCCACACACTCTCACATATGCAAACAAAGCCTCAAAGCGGGTTAAAGTGGTGAGAAAGTTGTAAGAAGGTTTTAAGTGGATTTATTGTTGCCGTGGAGGTCTCCGCGCTGCTCGGCGAGCTGGCAGGACATGTATGACTTCGACCATCTGGGACACATTACAAATGGAAATCAATGGTCCGGTCGGTTGTCTTATTACGGTTGTCTCCGACCCTTCTCGGAGGAGCAAATAATTGGAGCTGATATTACAACCAGGCTTATGACACGTTGGCGCAGGCTCTGTAATAAGCAGGGGGACACGGCTGAAACCATTCCATTTCTGAAAATGGATATAATTAGTACGTCTCTTTGTGTCCCCACCAGGCGAGACATTGCTGAATAAGAACATTCTCCTATTTTTAAACCAGTCAGCATTCTCATTAAAATGTCAACGTGTCTCTTCTTGGGGAGTGTTTGTATCCCAGCTTTAAAAAGGTTGAATTGTCCAGGTTCAACTTAATGACATTATGTGATTCACAACAATCTCCCTGGCAGGACCAAAGAAAAGGAGCTCAGGCCCATTTTTCTTTTGCCTGCCGGGTTTTGGGTTTTGGGTTTATTACGCGATCAATCACATACAGCACGAACGATCCGGGATCAATTAATAATTGAACACCGTTAAACTACTCAAAGCGCCAATAGGAATCGGCCTTGAGTCAGAAGCGAGGCCGTGTGGAAGGGCAGCGGGTTAAATAGACATGATTAATCAACCCTGCATTATTAGTTTGTATGTAGACGGCAGCTGTATCGCCACACTCTTAACTGTAAGCAGCTTTGGAGTGTTTAGCGCCGTTCTTTTCCCACAATGCAATGCACAGAGAGCTGTCCACTGATTGCAGATGGCGCTGAAGAGGCTCCCAGAACCCTCTCTGCTCCCCTACTCCTCCCATTTCTCCATCATACGCGTGCAACGCTAAGTAGTAACACGTGTCGCTACACGTGTCGATCGCTGCCCTAAAGTGCACGGCAGAAGGGATCAATGAGGCATCTCCTCGGCCTCCCATCGGGCAGCCTCCTCGGGTGACAGTGGCAGTGCCCCTCTACTGCCACCTATGGGCGGCCCACGGCCACGGCAGGTGAAGCTGCAGCCGCAGATAATCGTTCCCTCCGCTATTGACAGGCGCCCTGAGCTCTGCCATCGAGTTCTCGGCGTTGTTGATAGAATTAGTATCCATTAGCGCGTTGTGAGCGTCTCCCTTCACCACCGCGCCCTAGAAATGGCCGCCCCGCCACTCAGTTGCCGAGCATTGCTCGTCACGTTAGACCTCGTTAGACACTCTGCGCCGCCTTGCCGGGCCGCCATCAACAAAACTCCCTTCTGTTGCTCACTAGTGCTCGTCTCCTGCTTCTCTTTGCACCCACTGAGTGAGCCCAGGCGGAGCCACCTCACGACCTTTTACCGCAGTCCAAAGCCCCTGTTGTGTGACTGTGTGCAGCAGGAACGCTACAACAGCAGCACGCACACAGGCTTCGATTGTAGCTCCACTCTCCTTTCCTTTCCTTGTGTCCTCGAGGTCGAAATCTTCCAGCAACATTTCCTGTTGTTTTTTTTCTTTATTCCGCTGTTCCAGGGCTCTCAATGTGTTATTGAGGATGTGAGATAACCTCGCATGACATGATACAGGAAAGATACGGATCTCTGCTATTCCTCTCCTTAAAAAGTAGTTCTCTTTGTCAAGAGCGACGACCTGCTGGAGCCACACTGAAACAAACACACGTTTACAGCCATGCAAGAGGTGTCAAGCAAATCCGTTCCTTTGTGAAGAGAAATGGCTTTGAAAAGCACCTCAAGTTTGGGTGAAAAATATAGAATTAGTTCTGTTCAACAACTGTAATTGTGGGTTATTTCTAAGAGGTGTCTTTTTATATGAAGGTATATTTCCATGTGAGCCGCTCACTGCTTTTCACTTCAATGCAGTATATGTTGAAAAGGAAACGCTCCTCAGCATGGCGAGCAACCTGGCACAGAGAAGGAAAAGAGCCACAATGTGATTATGTGTTATTATCTCTCTCCAGCGGACTTCAACAATAAACCTTCCTCTTTTCTTTCTCTTTCTGTCTTTCTCTGTCCTTCCTCCTCCTCCATTACAGCTGCACTGCAGGTGTCCATATCCTTGAACAAAGTGGAGTTGAGTGTCGGAGAGTCCAAGTTCTTCATCTGCACAGGTACAACCGTCACACAGCTTTTATGTTGTACTGTGTATATGTATATGTGTGTGTTTGGAGGCATGTCCGGAGGCAGCGTTGGGCTTCACATCGCTGCCTCTGAAGCCTGTTAGTGGTTTGTAGGACGCTGAGCGCAGCACCATCCGCGCCTCCCATATGGTGAGTGACTCTTTGACTCAACGGGGGACCGGATCCACACAGGGACACCTCGCCCGTCCTCTCAGTATGGACACTGAGGAGGGGACACCGCTGCCAGTGGCTGTGTAGGGTGGCGCCGCACTCTGGCAGGCCCGGCCCTCCAGCCTCCTGCTGGCTGCCTCTTCTCTCCTGCCAGCCCACTCAGCGTGGCGCCAACGGCCTCGGGAGGGGAGACACACACCGGGAGGAGCATGGAGGGGGTGTGCAGGTCCTCGGCACTTGGTGGAGGAGGGGGGGGGGGGTATAAGTGGAGTTGAATGCAACCAAAATGGCAGGAAATGAAAAGCAAAGGTAGACGCTTTTATTGGGAAAGGAGCTAAAGCGGCGGAGCAGGAGGCAAAAGGCTTTGAGGCGAACGAGTGTTGGAGGCGGGAGATAGAGAGCCACCATCAACGTTCCTTTTTCACTCGCATGCAGGCTTGCCAACTGGACTGAAAAGCAGGGCAGAACAGTAAAAAGCCCAGTAAAACCAAAGTGAGCCCGTAAACAAACAGGGACTTTTTAGCTGTAAGTTGAATCGGGTCCACATGAATATTGATTGGACAAGAGAAGGGAACAGAAAGGCAATTATATTATTGCATGTTGATTCACGGGTTTGCTTAGCGAGGTGAATGTGTTGTTCTTGAGAGAAAAGAACCGGAGTGAAATTAATTGTGTTCAATACAAACCGGTGTTGTTTCAAAGGTTTGTCTGCAGCCGGGTTAAAATGATTGAATGACTCTTTTCGTCTGAGAGAACTCGCTCTTGTCTTTTCTTGGACCTGCTTTATACATCATGTTTCAGGTAGAAAAGCGGGCAAACATACATCAACATCCCGGCCTTGAATTCTACTTTGTTTGCCCCCGAAGACCTTTTCTCTGTCCTTCCTCTCTTCTCTTCAACACAATCCAATAACAATCCACGCTGACTAAGGGAACGATAAAAAATAAATGAATCACGACAATGTGCAGAAGGAGTGAAGCATGTAGTTTAATGGCTGGAGAGGATTTTCAGTTCCTTTGCAACATGTGTCCTTGTTTTTGATTGGTTTATTGTTATAATCACTAAGCTTCAACTTGAACCGATGCTTATTTAGTCACTACTGCTAATAGGCTGTCTAACAAAGCTTCAACGCATGTCTCAATGGATTTTAACGGTTTGAAGGTCAATGCAATCTGTGCACGTGAGATGGCGAGACAAACCCAAATGTACAAGACTTAATCACCCCTCAAGACCGAATAGTGTACAAATAATACATGTTAATGGTCATTTTAAAAGCCCTTTGATCCTCTGTCCTCAGAGAGACCGGTTTGAGGGGAAGAGCTCAATTAGCTTCTTTTATTATGTCGCTGCCGTGACTGTTCTTTTGTGTTGTTTTCTTCCGCTGTACGTATTCTGAATTGAGGCTGTGGCATTGTAGGAGAGAAGGAGACCGCAGCAGGTATATGGGGGTAGGAATAGAAACGAAACCGGTGAGAGAGAACAGGGGAGAATAGAACCGGTGACCGGCGCTGCGCAGCAGACGCTGCAGACCTTGTCTTGAGAAAACGGTCGTCTCTACGTGGTCGGCGGGAGCCAAAGAGAAACCCCGCATTAGGGCTGGTGTCACCTTGCACCTCGGGCGAGTTTCCATCAGTGCTGTGGGAAAGGTCAGGTCTCTATGATAAATGCACGAAATGAGAGAGAACCACCATTTCTGCACCAAAGGACGGACCAAACATCATTATGTTGAGCAATCTAACATTGTTGTTTTGCACAGCTATATTTAGCTTGTTTTGAATCGATTGCCCATCCAGAAGTGGAATGTCTCTTTTTTAATGTAAAGAGTTTCAGGGACTTCTGCTGCACCAGTGTGGCAAACCCGATATTGATCTGTTGACAGGGAGGTTTGTTGACGATAAGCCATTGAACCCGTAGATGTTTTACACAAACTGGAACTCTGGATAGTATCTGATACAATACATCTCCCCCAACACTGACCCTTTAACAAGATTGTGTTGCCCTCATCAGCTCCTTCGCTCGCTCAACTTGTGTGTATGTTGCTGAATGAAACAGCTTGAAGTTAACAGTATTTTTAAGTCATTACTGTCAATTCATCGAATTGTATTTCCAATTACCAATAGAAATACTGAGCAGGTGTCAGGAAAACCTAATGGCGCCAATTATAGAAAACCGGAGCATTGTTACAAAAGTAGTTGCCCTCAAGTACTCATTTTTGCATTCAATTTGAAATGTTCAATTAGACCTTTGTATGGAAACAAACAAAGCACGGAGAGAATGGGTCCCCTGTCAGGGTTAAATGAAGCTGAGCTCCTGGCGTGACAAATAAGGAGCTGGATAAACTGGTGTTTAGGTGTGTGTTTAACCTCCCATAGGACTGTGGTGGCAGGAAGCCAGAACCAGTGTTGGCTGCAAAATAAAACCAAGGCAGCTCCAAAGGCGGCCTCGCTGGTCAAACGAGATCCAACAGTGCTCCTGTTTCCATGTGGCCTTTCTCAGATGGGCCTAACGACAGCAGGTCCCCTCCTACGCAGCGGAGAGAGAAACGAATAATGGTCGAGCTGCACCCGTGCACATGCTGACCAGTGTGATTCCTCCCTGGTTTCTGCTCCGCTCGCTTCCCCCGGAGACCCCAATCAATTACGACCACGGCTCCAGTGCCAGCCGTGGGAGGGATTTGGTTTGTGCTCCGCTAATTCAGGCGCCACGGGGCCCGTCGAGTCAATAATCTGCCCTGTGCGGGGGGCTTAGATCGCTTCCATATTTCAGTTTCTTTACATTTGTGTCTGGAAACACCTTCCAGACACAAAGCGCCGCGGCTTGCTTTTCCAAAGTTTTGCATCCACGTTTGAAATCGCGTTTGCGAGCGCGATCACTGGCACCTGGGAGGAAAATCTCCATTGTCTCACCACTCTGCCCTCGGAGGACTCGTGGTCGAGCGTTCTCTCTTGTCGAGAATCGGTAATAATGCCAGACCTCATGCTCATTTTCAGTGCGACTTGACGCTACTTCCAACAGCCATTCACGCGGTTGTGAGGACGCGCGCAGGGAGGCAGGACCCAGCGTGCCACACACTCCTGTCTTCTCAGATCATGTGCGAAGCTAATGGCCTGTCAGCGCGCGGGCTACATCAACTCAGAACGCGTTACGCCGTCCCTGCCGCCGAGCGACAGTATAATGGTGCAGGGTGATAACGCTGTGGTGATGTCAGGTGGAAAGTGACGCCTGCGGCGATGCGAGACGCTCGTCTGCAGCGGGGGGGGGGCGCGTGTGAAGGAAAGCACAGCGGCTTCCACCGTGATGCCGAGTTGCTCGCTCGTGCTGGATTGCCTCATCAGATTCGCAGGCGTTGAACCTGAAGGAGGGAGTCAGCTCGCCACCTTCTGCTAGTTCACATGACAACATGCGGTTAAGACGGATAGGACATCTCCTCGCAGTCGCACCTGGGTGAACGGATGATGTGAGATGGGATGAGCAGCTGGAGGTTGAACGCTTTGCTCAAGGGCATCTCGCCGCATCCACGCTGCATTCTTCCAGCACTCTCGTCTCTTTCTATTTTTCCTTGACGAAACAGAATTGTCCCTCGCTTGTATTGCGTCTATTATCGGCAGCCTGTCTCCGAGGGACTGGACGAGTCTCTGTCCGTCACCTCTCCAAGGCTGCGGCTGAGTGATGGGCCAAGTGAGGATGTCCCGCCAACGCTGACACTTTTATTTTTGGTATTTACAGGCAAGGGGCTCCTGCTGCTGAAGGCCCAGTCATCTCCTGCAGTAGCCTGCGGATGAGCTCCTGCTCCTCAGGCTGCATATGGACTTTCTACCCGGGTGTTGCGGTTATTTCTTTCTCAGGCCATCTCTTCTCCCCATTTTAAGTGTTTCTGTTTGCATACGTGTGTAATCGTGGAAACGAGAATGGGATTTACAGCCTACATATGTCGCTCTTCCTTTCCAGATTTATGTATCATGTAAATCCAAGACTAGGACATAATCACATAATTTCAGGCCATCTGTTCCCTCGACAAGCTCCAACAACAACAACAATGTGGGATGGTCTTCAGCTGCTCAGTGGACTCAAGCGGGCAGCGCTTCTATTTTAAAAACCTTTGCAGCACATACCCGATACATTACTTATTTCACTCGAATCAACCAATTCAATTAACTCGAAAAGTTCCACAACGGAGGTTGCATCCTATGTAGTCTGTTAAACCTCATTGGTTTGTCATGTCTTTATTTATTCTCAGCCTCCGTGCTCGTAGTTTGATCTGTGCGATCAGGACACAAATGCCAAAACGTTTCAACTCAAAACTGGACGCACATAAACAATGCTTCAGGCATCCTATGCAGCCAAAGGAAAAACAACCAGCTTTTCTACAACTGCCTTGTCGGAAGAACTGCAGGCTGACTGCAGGCTTCATGCCTAGAGATGGCAAGCTAATGTCACTCATGGGCAGTTCTGTATTTCCACAAAGAATTCAGTGAATGAAGGGTAACAGGTTCACACTATTGTACCAATTTAGAGAATAAATAAAGCGGATGGAAGTCAACAAACGACAACCTGTTACAAATGCATTGTTAAACTGCATTTAAATGTAATGTGTGGCTCCCGGGCTGAGCGCGAGTAGTCATGGAAACGTCGCCATGATCCGGCCTCGCCTGCTAAAAAAAAAGAATAAAATGCCCTCATCCCCAATCCCTCTATGTTCCGCTCTTCTCTTTCTCCCAGCTATTGGCGAGCCGGTGAGGCTGGAGTGGTACAACCCCCAGGGCGAGCGCATCCTGCCCTCCAAGCGGATGGCGCTCCACACGGAGACGTCGCGATCCCGCCTCATCATATACAACGCCATCATCGAGGATGCGGGCATCTACCGCTGCCAGGCCGTCGACGGCGTCGGCCACACGGTGGAGGCTTCGGTGGTGCTGGAGATCTACCGTAAGCCTGATAGATTCACCCGCTGAGGCTCCGTGTCCGGCTCCTGAGGAGAGCTGGACCGGAAGACCTGAGCAGAATAAACCCCAAAATGTGGAAATGATACATATTCCCAAACTAAGAAAAGCTTCTAGTCAGAGGTAGCACAGTAATGGGAAATACACACACACACACACACACACACACACACACAGACGGCATGAAGAACTAAGTGTGTTCTGAGAAGTGAATAACCTAAATACGCAGAAACACCGGGACTTTGATCAGGCGTTTTCCCCAACTGTAATTGGAGGAAACGTTACGGTACGTGGATTTCTTTCCAGCAGACACACACACACACACACACACACACATCTGGAACCACCACCTGCTCTGTGGTTGCCTTTTTTTCATCTTCTTCCAGCAAACCATTAGGGGAGACATCGCCGCCTCAAACCCACCTGCCACCGCCCAGCCCTCGCCTTACTCCCCACTCACCCAGCTCCCTAAAACCATTGTCTCCATGGCAACAGAGCGTCACTCATTCACGGGGGCCCGTGACTGCGCAGCCAGAGCCGGCGATGAGTCCTCGGGCGCCGCGCTGGCCGGGCGAGATACAGCTTGTTTTACACGTATACCTGTGGTGTTGGCATCCCCTCAGCTGTTGATCACATCCCCATGGCGACCTGTTACGTCCTCCAGGCACGGCTTCACGGATGGAAATGTCGGTTGCTTTGGCATTAGTGGTCAAGAGCTCACCTCCTCTCAGTTGGGGGACAAACGGGTTCTCCAACATGAAGAAACAATGAAGAAAACCTGGAGTTCTGTGTATATTTTCAATTCGCCAGTGTCAAGTGTGCGGTAGCGTGTTCCTGGAGCGATGTGAATACAAGAGGGAACAGAAAAGGATACAAGCGACATCATAAGTGTTCGAACCTGAGCAAGGGAGCGACTGAAGATTCGGGGAATTAGCAAGAAACCAACGGTGTGACTGACAAAAACAGCTTCCTTGGCAGCCTTGAAGGTAATGAAGACACTGATATGCCGCACACGTTCACAGGCGGAGGGCGCAGTCGAGGAGAGAAAGCTCATTTTTGGGAGCAGCCCGGCATAAATCACACAGCGAAATGCTAATGCTGACGCCTCGCTGATAGGGGGGGGGGGGCTGTCGGTGATTCATACGCACCTTCGCAGCGCAGCGGATGGCGGGGGGCTGCAGATGAAAGCCGACTACCCGAACGAGAGCGCGGTACCAGCGAAGGATCAGCTGCTGTTTGTGGAGAAGGGCTGGTCCAAGAACACTGTCCCCGTGAAAGCAACTTGTCAAAACACCAAATGTTTGTCAAGAGGGAGGACGCAGCTTCAAACCCTCACAGAGTGGAATTCATCCCTGCAGCGGAGGCACGCTGAATCAAAGGCTTCTTCTGTTCCAGACTAATTATGCAAACACAAGGGCTGCAAAAAAGCTCAGCTCATTGATTTCTTTTTCCTTTTTTTTTGCCGTTGTTGTGATTGGCAGCGAGCGTAGCAGCCACCCTGCTGTTCTGTTTCATCTGAATCGCCTTATCTGTGTCCCAAAACACAGTCAAAGCCGGATTTAGCTTTTGTTTCACTTGATTTTTTGTGAGTGGGTCCATCCGACCATTTCCAAGGTTGTTTCCCCATGTGCCCATTTCCAAATACTTCTCGCCCCAAATTGCGAGGCAATAGGTTACATGACAGCTGCGCTTAGTGTAGTTTTTGGCGACTGGACCTGCACAGTTCTACGGCTGGAAGAACCTCTGAATATTGGGATGGATGGATGGATACATGCATGCCCCTATTGGGTTTATTGCCCAAAACCTGCATTACAATAATAATTGTTCACATTCCCAAAAGTCCTCAACTGAACATTGTTTATCAGCATTGTTATGATGGCCTTATAATTCACACAACATAATACAGCAGAGTAAAGTCATAGTTTTCAAGAGAACCCTTGATGTATAAAGTGGGGATGCATGCCTTTAAATGGAGCCCATTCCAGCACTGACGCCTTCATCTTTAATGAAAAAAAATGGCACAAAGCACAAACCGGGTCTCGACCCAGAGAGAACATTTGAAGACTTTCTATTTTAAAGCGACTTTTCCAAACCGCACAGCCATCAAAGTTAACCGGACAGAAGAAGCACAGCCATTTTTTTCCTTCTTACTTTCCTTTTGATGTTCTGACCTGCCATAAATTGCCCTGAATGTCTCCATCTTGTTTGATCTCCCAGAGAGGCTGACGTTTCGGGACGTCCAGTCGCCGCAGGAGTTCCGCCACGGTGAGACGGCGGAGGTTGTCTGCGACGTCATTAGCTCACCGGTGCCCGTGGTGGTGTGGTACTACCAGGACAAAGAGATCACCGAGGAGCACCACAGTGAGTCCGCGTGGCCTTTGCCCGATTACGACGCGTCAGGGTGGACGATGGTGGATAACAGCTCACACGTTAGATGGAACAATCCAACAAATGGGATATTGTTTCATATGGATGTTTTCCTCATATATCGGAGGAATTGCATGCAATGATTAACTTACTTAAGTAGATTTGAGGTACCCCAAAGTTTTTTTTAGGATGCGACGTGAAACGGAGGCTTTTGTGTAAGAAATGCTGCAATGTGCCAACTTTCAAAGAAACCTTCATATCAAATATGTGGGTTTTAAGGTCCTCCAAAAAGCTGCTTTGTAAATGTTTTATGAGGGAGAAAATGCATTCTGCCTGTTAATAGTGCCGTTGAGAATACAAATAATGTGTTTTAAGCACAACATTTGTTTGTTTAGTCCAAATGGTACCTCTAAAACAAAAGGCCGGAATGGGAACAGCAGTTCCGAACATGGATGGATCGATGGAGTTGTGCATTTGCTGCGACCCAAAGATGAGAATTTAGTGTTTAAATCTCCAATGCTGTTTGTTTAGTCATAAATATTCATGTTCTACTGGAATGTTAAGGCTGCAAATACATTCTCGGGGGCATTTTTTGTGATATAATAAGTCGGGCAAGTATCCAACTGTGAAACTAATCTTGATTATTCCAACATTAGATTATCAGGGCAATACTAGTTAAGTAAGCAGACATCTCAAAAGAATTCACTTTTGGTTATTAACATAGAACGCGCTTACAAGTCCCGTAGTGCCCATTTGTGTCTCTGCATGAAAGGACTCGTGCCAAAAGGAACGCTCTCTAGGAAATGCTATTTCCTTCTTTTGTGTGGCTCCACAATAAGACAAGGAAATCTAATTCTATAAATAGAAATCCCATCAGCCCGGAGGAGGCGTGGAACTTGGACGGAAACCGTGTTAACAAGCGACGCAGAGAAAGGATTGCGGAGCGGTCGGACTCTGACATTCCGGGATGTGCTTCCCGCGAGATGCATCGCTTCAAAAGAGCTGTTTCAGGCAAAAGGGCAAATCTGAACTCAATCCGCAGTAATTCACAATCATCTTGTCAATCATATTGTGTCCCATTTGAGCCAAAGCTATATCCCCTTCAAAGCTCTTCCCCCGTAATCCCACACTATTTCTGAAGAAGGCCGATAGAAGTAGAGAGCAGATTAACTGCAGTGTTATTTTCCGATAGAGGCAGGTGCAGGTAGGAACCAGTGGACAAGGATGCATCATTTCCTCGTCTCCTCCACCCTGATTTACAGCTCTAGGCCACTTCCCCCTCCTCCATCTAGGCAAAATGCACCCCTGCTCACTTATTAGAAAAAGTGACCCTTTGAATCTGTCACGTTTTTTAATTGAAATTCAAATCTTCGGTTCCACGATGAAACACCTTTTTTTTTTTTTTTATCATTTCACTCTTAATTACAAAGCGTGGTTATAAATACCTTTGCTTGAGAGGAATGAGATAGAAGCCCCATCACTCCTGGACAATCTCACAGTGGCCGCGAAGGGAAGGGAGTGGAGTCGGTAATTGCGTGAGTGTTTATCTGTGTGCGCTTTATCAGGTAAATGTGCTCGAGTGAAGATTGACGGCCTTTCCGGCGAGTGGAGATGGCAATTTTCTCTGCGGTTTTCCTGACTTTCTTATCTCCGCCTCTCTCTCTCTCTCTCTTTCAATCATACACTGTTCTTCCTCACCGTCCGCCCTCCTCTTCTTCGCGCCTGTGCTGTGAAGGCAGGCTCCAGGTGCTGCCCAACAACAACCTGCAGATCCATCAGGTGACCAAGGCTGACGAGGGCGTGTACCGGTGCGAGGCCAGCGTGGAGGCCCGCGGGGAGATCGACTTTGTGGACATCGCCGTGGTGGTCAACGGTGAGCCCCCGTTCCAGACTGAGACTGTTGTTTGGCACACAGATGACGTCACATGCAAAATATAAAGTCAATCTCAGTTTTGAAAAGCGTGTGCTTCCCGTAAAGAGGTCAGCAATTAGCTCAGCGTCACTCCGTAAACATTGCTTTCCTGATTGAATACAAAACCCCAACCTGCAAAGCTCGCTGAGGAGGGAACCTCTGACGTGAACCTCAGGGTGAAGGCGGAGCCTCGCCGCCGCGTCACAGCGGAGTCGTCCGCTTCGACGAGATCTCACTCTGATACCTTTTCTTTTCTGTGTTCTTTAGTGTGATTGAACATTTCAATTATTGCTGTCTTTTGGTGCCGTGGGCCAAAAGTCCGGTGACGCCGTTTTAATTTTCTCATTTGTCCTCATTTACAGCGAGTCACCTGAGACCGCAGAGGTGATTGAAATGTGATTTCACTCAGGCCACGAGCGCCATGTAACGGTTGAACAGCTGCAATATTGTCCCCGCCTATGTAACTCTCTCCCACCTAATGTAATAGCAGAGCGGCCCTCCGCCCCAAAAACTATGAATTGCATTCAATTTAGCACACCACTTACCTCACTTGTGAGGAAGATCCAATAAGCCTGCCCAATGAGGCACGACCTATTATTGCAACGACACGACAATTGCCATGAGCGCGAGGGGGGGGTTGGGGGGGTCGGGGTCTGCAGAGAAAAGCCTCTGAGGGAGACGCGTTGGAGTGGACTTTGCCTCACGGAGCCTCGTTCAGCTAATCCCTTAAGACTCCCGCATTTAGTGAGTTGAGCCTAAAGTCTAAATGTGATTTATAGAAACAGCGTGAGGTCTGGAACAAGAACATCAGGTTCTTAGAGAAAAGTAGAACTAAAGCCTAGTTTGTGCTTCTGCGTTTTCAGAGCGACGCAGATGCAAGAGCCCCTTGCGTGTCCGCAGCGCACCAGGCTGCGATTGGGCCGCTAACTGCGTCCTTTACGGAGTCTCACGTTTCCGTTTTCATAGCCCGATACCGCCACTAATAAAACGAAGAATGTTTACGAACGGATCAGATTGAAGAACTTGTCGGAAAGAAATCTGTAAGTATGATTCATGGAGGGAGATCGCCACAAACGTCGGTTTGAGAGGTGAACAAAGTTGTGGAGGAAAATACGGGACAAATGTGTCCACGATGACAAGCAGCAGTGGCGATGCACGAGGCAATAAAGTCTATGATAAATAAACCAACCAACGACCTCCACACACAAAGACGTGACTCTCCAGGTCGTCTTCAACAGAAACACGTTACTCCGCCTGTTGTTCTGGCAGTGAACTGCTCTGCAACACACGCAAGACTTTTAGAACGATGAATTGAAACGAGTAGCATGCGCCGGCCTTAATGAGTGCGCGCAGTGCGGCAGCATCAGGCTAGGGCACATCTTCAGCAGTTCATCTTAAAGTTCAACTTTCTTCATTCATTTAAACCTCCTTTTTGTCCATTATTCCGACTCAAACACTAGACAAAGTTAGCAACGATTTGGTGTATTGTAATCCGCTTCGTCAGCTTGAAAAGCACCTCATCTGTTGTACAGCCGCAGCCCCAAGGAGATGATCCCCGACACAACGAGGCCTTTCTTTAATGCTCATCCCGTTTCCTGCCCTGAAGCAAGAAGTGTGAGTCTCTCCCTTCCTCTGAAGGACTGTTTTTGCGGAGGGAACAGTGTTCTCCCTCTATACCGCTGCCGTTCTATTTGTGGGGAATGTCGCTTGAAGAAACACGCCGCGTTTACTCCCTTTGCAGTCGCGAGGGGAAGGTGGAGCGAGAGCAGAGGGGAGGAGAGCATCTCCGAAGGAACGGGAATGTACTTTATCGACAGCCACCTGCACCGGTCGAACGACGCAGAGGCCCCGAACCCAAGTAGACGGGGTAGATTGCCGGGAGGCTCTGGTATATCAATGAGTGCGGCAGGCGCCATGTTTCATCCTCCAGCTGAGGACGGGGAACTGCTTTCTGTTGTGGTGCCTGGGGATGCACCGAGGTAGGATAAACACCCTGACAAAATATAAACAGCTCCATATCTGAAGACCCCAGGAGGAGGTGCAGAACGAGGATCTCCTGAGGTCCAGCAGTTATGTTCAGCTCGTAGCAGCGACCCGTCATGCTGTTCTTGAGACAAGGCCCCTCGGGATCAGGTCCACCCCGGCTGCTTTAGTACTGTGTTAGTAGGCGTCGCTTTAGTCAGGTAGAACAGTCTTTTGTCTGAAAGCAGGCTAGTGTACTTTTGTCATAAATATTCACGGGGCAGTTGACAAGAGCGCTGTTTTCTTGCCTGTGAGCGAGCAGCTGCACCGCAGCGGACCGGAGATGAGGATGAGGCGCATCGAGGATGGGGGCCGCCCACTGAAAGGCTAATCGGCCTGATGCCAAAACAGGCTGGGTGTCTGAATGGACACCGAGTATTTCAGGGACGTGACCTCAGAAGTTATAATCAAGGAGTGGAGAAAGCCGTTCATCCGCAGAGCGAGAACATAATGCAGAGAAGCGAGTGTATTAGGTGATTCCCGTCATTGTACCTCGGCATGCAATATGCCTTTCAATGTAACAGGCACAGCCAGGTTACCTGCGCTCACTCTCTGTGATGGTTGGCTCAGTTTATTATGGACACATTTGTCCTTCCTCCCATGACACGCAACCATTCGTCATCCCTGGACGTTGAGCTGAATCTCGTGAAATGAGACAAACACATATTTTATCTCCGGTAGACGCTTCAACAACTTTACCGAACTGGCTTGATCACTCACTTGAATTTTCATGTTTGGATGTAAAACCACCAGTTGTGATTTTAACTGCTTCTGGAACAGGACCAAGAGTTGCTCATTGCATCTCTCCACATCCTGATGACCCCGGGAGCCACGGTGGGGGAAGTTTGTTTCCATGACAACGGATGCAAATAACATCCTGGTTTCCCCAGTGCCCTTCCGAGACACACTTAATTGGCGGTTAACTTACTCACACACTAGACCAGCTATTTTCCCCTCCTCAGCTGTCAGTTGGAACTACCGGCTGTGTCCTTCAAGAGTATTTTGCGGTGACATCAATCGTGGAGGAGAATAAGCATCGTTTTCCTTTCTCTATTATGAATCCGGGCTGGTTTGACTCCAGCTTGTGGGCTAATCTAGAAGGAGAAACAAATCCCTTGTAAGCACTCCCAACAAAGGTTTTGTTTGCAGTTGCTTGCTGAATATCTGGTAGGCGCACTCCGGTTGTGACACTTACCCCGAACATTTCACCACTTCTAAACACGCCGGATCCTCCGTTCGCTGAGCTTCGTCCGCGCGGAACAGAAAACAATCCTCCAGCTCCTCGCCGGTGCACTTAAACGAGTCCGCGGCCAAGTTTGCATCTCATTACATTACGCTCACGCTGACGGGGGGGTCGGTAAACCTTGCGTTCATCTCCACTGAGCCTGTGAAGTTTCAAGAATGTGACTAACGCACAAAGAAAATGGTAGAGCTCGCACAGATCCTTCTGGGGAGCTTAAAGCCGGTTGCTGATTTGCTCTTTTGAAGTCCTTCTGCTTGGCGTAGCGTCTCATTAACGCCGCTGTTTCAACAAACCTCAGTGATGTGGAAGAGCGAGACGCCGGAGAGAGCGGGGATCAGTTGCCGTGGAAATCAATGGTTATCGTGTCAGGCAGATGCTCGCCGAGTCGCGACGATGGCAGAGGACTCGCGGTGTTTGATTATTGCTTAGGCCATTTTTACCCCTGAAAAGCTTCCAGCACCTTGCGAGCGTGCGCTCGTTGAGGCGAACACTTCCTCGTATGTGTGGATGTTACTCTCAAAGTATTGAAAACAATCATCCCTTTCTTTGCTCGTGGCAGTAACTAAACGGTGAACAGACGCCACCAGACAGCAGATGGATCAGACGGCGTGAGTGTAATTGCTCTTTTCACAAAGACGACAGTGCACTGCAGTGTTTGGATGACTGGCTATCTCGGATGATGCTTTGTTTTGATTAGAACTCCCCATTCTTCATCATCAATTATGGAAAAGGTTTTATATTTTTGTTTCATGTGTTTCACCCTTTTAATGAGATTTTAGGGCATATTTTTGTCGTTCAGAAGTCAGCGCTTTATTTGTAGCTATTTCACCTTCACTCACATCAAACAAGTCAGCTTTGTTTTCCCACAGAGTGACACCTTAGATGTGTATCAACAAGGAAAGCGAATCTTAAAGCTGAAACGCTCTCACTGTGCAGCTGCCAGCTACAATAACCCACATTTAACGCCCGTGCAAATGTAACATCAGTGTGAAGATGTTTTTCAACTGCACGACGAGAAAAGATTAAAAAATGACCCTTCATTACCTGTTGTCATGTGACATGAAAGGATTAAAGGATGAATAAAATGTATCAACAACGACACCTCGGGGCTTTAGTGTGTGCATTTAAATGTTCATTTTAATGAGGATTTCAAGGGATAGAAGGAGATGAAAATGAGAGAAGCGAGATGGGGAACGGCGTTCAGCTGAATATTGAATATATTCCTTGTTAGGGGATGTTTGCCGGCTGTTCCCTTCCACCCTGCACAAGAGGTTTTGCTCAATGAGCCGTACTTGTGTTACATGTTCGGCCCTTCAGCGGTTTAGCCGGTGCATTCGTCCGAGGGTCACGCCTCCCAAACCGAAAGAACACGGTGCTTGAGATTGGACGGAGCCGCAGTCGTGGTGGAGTAGAAATATGTATTTATTTATAGATATATAGAGGGAGAGCGCAGGCTTGAGAAATGGACTGAGACGCATGATAAAATGATGCTCTTGCCATGAAGCTGTCACTCCCTTGTCACTGTGGAGGCAAACGGAATAAAAGGCCGAGGCTGCTCTCCTCTTGCTGAATGACAGGATGGTGCGGATAAAGTCACCCAGACCTCGGCTCTTTACCTCTACCTTCTGGTTGGGCTATTTATTCCCGTGGCTCAAGAACATGAGATGTGACAAAACATTTAGTCCAGGGACAAATATTTAGAATGATTTGCTTTGGCGGCGGTTTGTTATTCGGAGCCGGTACAAACGTTTTTGATGTCGGACCGCATTTACCGTCCTGCCGTTGTTCGTATGGATTTAGCCGAGTAGTATTCTGGTTTCACGTCGCTGTGTTCGGATCCTTTGTGTTTTTACCAAAGCTGGGTCAAAATGTCATTTGAAATCCCCACGGGATTACCAACAGTGGTGGCGTTTTCAGCGAGCGCTTACAGGCCACTCGCAAAGGCCAATTTAATCCATTAGAAAATGTGAGCTTTCATCATGTGGCCCAACAGACTCATTTAAAAGTAATTCGTGCTCTTCGCCGTGTCCCCTAATGAATGTTCCTGTCCTTGTGTCGACAGTCCCTCCGGTGTTGTCAGTGTTCCAGCAGTCCTTCAATGCCACGGCTGACTACCAGGAATCCGTCACCTTCACCTGCATGACCTCTGGATCTCCTGACCCCCAGGTCTCGTGGCACAGGTACCTCCTCCTTCCTTAAGAACTTGCCTCAGTCTCTGTTAAAAGGCGTTGGGCCCATTACACCCACATGCGCGATTCCATTCCAAAAGCTAAATTGGCATGAAGCTTCTGCTTTTACACCCCATTTCTCCTCTGGAAGCGTTTGGGAACCCGACTTCGGGGATTTGCATCCATTCAGGTCACAAGAGCATTAGATGGGGTTGGGCGCTGATGTCGGGCGCTAAGCTGGGTCTCTCATTCATCCCAGAAGGGTTGGCAGGACTAAGGAGAACCATCCCTTTGTTCCCATGGACCAAGAAAAGTGAATCAACTCCCAACCAACCAAATATGTCCACAAACATTCTCAAACCACTTTATTTAATTCAAGCTAACCTGACCTACTTGGTGCTACTACACCTCTTAGTTACATTATCATTGCATGACAATGCAGCAGACACATTTCAAATAGTGTCTGAAATGTTGACGATCCGACACCGTTTTAAGCGGCATGTTTTACCGGCCTCACGCAGGTGTCTGTAAACTGTTTTTTATGCTGCACTAAATCAAATGGAAATCAATGGCTGCCCTGAAGGAACCAAGGGAAAAACATTTAAAATCTACTTTGAACAATGGAAGTCGCAGGTCCTGCTGATTACAATGCGCCATTGTTCTTCAAATATCAATATTATTAATATAATTCTGTCAGACAATGCTAATTAGTTTTTTGTATAACTTCAGCTGCAATAATGAACCGAAATAACACTCAAACGTGAATCCAACATAATTACGCCGTGCAACATTTAAGTGGGACGTCTTGAACACCCACACTCAGCTTTCATTCTTAGCAATTTGAAGTGATTATTTTCTGCCTATAATTACCTTGTTGGGCTGTCTTTAATGCAGAGGGGAGGACTTTGATTGTGCTCTGGCTGATTTCTGGAGGTGGAGGTATGGAGCTTGTTACCAGCAGGTATAAAAAGTAGCACAAAGGATATGAAGAAAAACTAAAAATATAAGGAGGCACCATAATAAAAAAAAGCTAATGTTGCTCAAAAAATACTTTTCACAATGATACATCATTAGAATGCAAAATATCACCAACACTACACATACAGCAGAGATTGTTGGACACAAAAGGGGAGAAGCACAGTGATGTTGAAGGATCCACATGTTCATCACAAAGCACACAAGCAGATATCTTCTGTACACATTCATCACCTTGAACAAACACGTGTTGCTGCATTTAACCTGAAATGTCTCATAGAACCCGTTTGTGTACACAAAGGTTCTGCAAAAGTCAAACCGAGACTTTCTTTGATTTAAGGTGACTTGGTGCTCGGTACCGAACCATTACTCTGCCCGACGTTGTCTCCCAGAGGCCGATGCGAGACGCAGTGAGGGCGGGGTTCTCTTGTGCGTCACTGAGTGAGAAGTTAATCATTGCCAGGAAGAAACAAAAAAAGAGCGGCACATGCATCACTTTGCGAAGTACAAACAAGATGTGGAGACATCTCCCCGAAGGCTTGAAGACTTTAACTCTGCGAGTCTCATTCCTCTTGCTCTTTAGTTTCCCCGCCGCAGCAGCAGAAATGTTCTTTCACTCATTTGTGTTCTACCCCGTCTTCTACAACAGAGCAAACCAGGAAAATGTGATTTTAATGATTTAACAGCATGCATAATACAACACGGCCGTTCCCCAGTGGTGACGGGGGCGAGGTGATGCATTCATTCATTTTGACTTTCATATCGGGACTATCCACGAGGCAGCTCTGTCGATACATAATTACTCCATTCACTCATTTGTTTGGTAGCATATCAACCATTTCCGTCTCATTTTGCGTGGTGATTACGAAAAATCAGTAACCTGTTCACCTGAAGGAAATAATTTCATCCCATCATCTATGACGTTAATGTATTTAATGTATTTCCGTCTGGTTTAAGGCTTATAAAATAGGACTTGTCGAGTCTGGAGAGAACTTCCACACTGATGTTGAACATTTCATTGTGTGCTCCTTCATTTCCCGGGTCAGCAGGTCCTGCGCCTCAATCCCAGACTACACAATTAAAATGCTCACAACAGAGGAATCGTCTTAGGCGTAAACAACAATCACGACCCAGTTTAGTTTGGCTTCTGGTGTCCTGCCCTCCCCAGTGTCCTCCCGCCTGCCACTCGCCCGTCCTGTCCGCCTCGCCCTCTGTGCATCCTGGGTAATGGCCCACCTGTCAGCAGTCAGTCAGTGTAATGACATTCAGCGGCGCGGCCCGTTCCAGAGACGAGGCCTCTCTTCATTTCCTCTTTGGCTCGCCAGTTATTGTGACCCGGCTTTGGTGTTTCCTCCGACGCCTTTCAATTATCCTCCCTCTCGCTTTTCCATACAGTGCGGCGCGGCTATACTCGCCACTCGGTATGAAGAACTCAAATAATAAGATTAGTTTTCATTTGTCATTCACAGAGTAGACTGTAATACGCTCATATCATATAGAGGAGTCTCTAGATATATTTAGAGTTGTGCGTTATTCACTGCTCTGTGCTTCTCAGCTTTTCAATTCAATTTACACACTGGCTTATAAGGTTAGAAAACAGGGTGCCAGATTCAGATTGACGGCATTATGATCCAAAAATAAGAATGTGTAGTCATACGTAATCTCCGATGCTGGGTTAAATCTGCTTTTGGGTGGATTAGAAATAAAGTGCAACTCTTTATATTGTAGGCTGTTTTCTTGGTATTTTTTTTAATCTCAGGCCATAAGGATTTTATTTTTTAACAATCTCTCTCCCTGTTCTGTGCTTCACATTCACACATATAACCTCAGGTGGGATCCGGCCAGTACAACCAGCACTGGTCATTATAGGAGGCCCGGCCACTTATCTACCAACCACAACACGTTGTTTCCACTGGCGTCACCTCTGCTTCCGTCTTAAAAAGACAGTTTACTTTCTTTTGTCACTTGTTTCTTCTTCTGCACATGAGCCTAACGCAACAGTCATTTTGAGCCACAATATAAATTCAACTTTTTACTCATTCTTTTGCTCTTAGGGGGCAATCCTGAATAAAATAGCTGGCGTTTCGGAAGCTAAATGCACCGTGGATTTATCCAAGCTATTTTTCTAAAACAAGCTGGAAGATGCTAAAGTTGAGGTAAACCGTGGATAATAATCTGCTGTTGTAGAACTCTCCACATTCAACAGAAATATCAATGCAGCTTTTAGAAATGAGATCAATAATGTTGTTTCTACATGAGGAGGTTGCAGGTAACAATACCCAAATGAAATCAGAGGCTCTGATAGTTATTTGTCCACCTCGCATGAAGCTAATGAGGAATTTAAAAGTGCATTTGCATCTTGTTTTCTTGATTCTCTGAGTCACAGACATCCAAGCCTTGAGCTAATCCCGTACTTGTATTGCATGTCACAGAAAGTGCCCATGAGTTTGTCTTAATCTGTGTTTAAAAAAGGGGGAAATGGTTCAATTCCCCCCAAATTGGTGATCCCTGTAACCTGACAGATTTCACGGCTGGTTAAGATGCGGTAAATAAACAAGCGGCGGGGGCAGGGAACCCGATTCACACCATTATGCTTCCGCTATGCAGCTTAAATACAGACATGGATCAATTTAGCTGTTGCTTTTTTTTCTGGCTAATTTCCCTCCAGAGAGACAGTAAATCCGCCCCCTGTTCCACCGTGTTCCGCAGCCCCCCCCCGGAGTCATCGGGCGCCGCAGTCCTAAACTAAGCCACGAGAGAGACCCGAGCTTTAAGAAGCCGCGTGATGACTTGCTACGATTGATGCATCGAACTGTTATTTCTGTCATATTCTGTCCGGAAAAAGGCTTTTAACGTACGTAGGGTTTCTATCAAATGTGGTGTTTTTGGCCTGTCTGTGTGCTCGGGAGATAGAAATGGCTTCAAAGTCAAGCCGCCTTTTTTTGGCCTTTTTTTGAAGTGCAAAGATGACACATCTGTACGATCAGACGCGCGCTGCACAGTGAACTTTGTGCAGGTCGCCGTCGGCCGTGAGTCGCTCGCCATATTTTCATAACCCTAATTTCACCGGCGGAGTGCGCTTTTGCTTTTTGTCCGGGCAGGAAAGGGCAGCAGCTGGAGCCCTCCGAGCAGTACATCATCATCCGGCTGGACGGCGGCCGCAGCATGTTAACCGTGCGCAACATCCGTCAGGCGGACGGGGGCTCCTACACCTGCAAGGCCACCAACAAGGCGGGATCTCAGGAGAGGGAGGTCTTCCTCAAAGTGTTCGGTAAGCACCGCCAAGTGTCGCAAATGTTCACTTTGACTTGAACAATATCATAGGGACTACTTATTAATATAACGCAGTTAAACAGAGATAAACAGAACAATCTGGATGGATCCATATTGCTCAAAATAGAGAGAACCTCAAATGATAAAATAAAACAAATGTTTTGCATCATTGAACATTTTTTCATTTAACATTATCTGCCATGTTGACCTCCTCCAAAGCTTTTAAGTATAATGGCATTGCCCATGACAGTTAACAGTGTTTTATGTTGATCCAAAAAGCTTTATTGTGAGGACCTCCACACATTCCAGTTCATGAAAAAATAACAATATTGCTTTTCAAAACCACAGATGTCCAAACGGCCCTCAACCATAACAACATAACAACTGCATCAATATGATGAATCCCTGCTGGAAGAAAATATCTCATCTATCGCTTCATATTTCATTTACTGCTCCCCCACTATAAGAAATTCCATTTATATTTTCATAAACCTGCTGGCTGTTCCCGCATAGATCCATCTGATGGTGCTCATGGAAATGTATGGAGATTTGTGTGCACGTCACCTGCATCCTTTCAAGATGTGAGAAGAGCTTGTTCCTCAAAATGCACATTTAAATGAAGAAGTTAAGTGTGCAGGGAGGAGATGTGCGTTGGACTGTGCCGCAGCTGTAAGTTAGTTTTATTACCCTTGACAGCACAGGCGGGGGGAGTACAGGACATTTAAGTTATGAACCGGTGTGTATGCAGATGTGTTCTTCCCTCAGTGCTCCATATTTAATGTCAGACACGTTTCCATTAGCCTTTAGAAAAAAAGAAAATAGCAGAAAACTAAAGATAAGTTTTGCACTTTTCACTCATCTGATCCACTTATTTTAATGCTAATAAATTGTTGTAGCTCTAATTGTATGATTGCAAAGATTACAAGCTTAGATATTAGCTCCTTTCTGTTGCTGCACAGTTTCACAGTGGCGATGAGCAAAGGCAATACACTGCTCAGCCCCAAATTGAGATGAACGACATGACAAATGACGATGTGATTCAAGGGGAAGAAATATGTATTTATTTTCATCTTTCAGAGCGGTAGCAGCTTCTGGGTATTCCCTTCCCTTTCTACATGCAAACCAATGACAATTACTCATCTGTCCAGAGTGAACAGCATACTAGATGTCTTGAAGCTTTTGGTTGGAGAGCGAGGCGCTTCTTCTCCGTTGGTCAGCAGCTTTCAGCCCCCCACTGGGAGGAGTGTATCCTACAAAGCAGCAGAGATGCGCGTCTGTCTGCAGACGTCTTTAGGACCTGTTGTCAGGGGGGAATCACAGCTTCCTCTTTCACAGCTTTCATTCTTTAAGCACCTTGTGGCGGGACGCCTTTTTCTTTCTGCTGATGTGGAACACAAAACGCACTGCTGGCGTTTTTTTCTATGGATCGTTAACGGCACAATAAAGTGCGCAGCACGGACCGACGTAGAGTTCATTATGGTGGAGTCTTAAACCCGCTTTGAGGAGTTAACCGAGGCATCAGGGATGACAGGAGAGAATCTTTTCTGACATTTACTCTGTTTATCGGAGACGCTGAGACAACAAACCATCGTATCGTTATCAGATACGGTCAGCACCATATTACATTTTCTGGTACCTGTCACAAGCAGCTTTATGAAAGTTCAAATGTTGCTGTGAAAGAACATAAAGTGAATGGAAAAAGTAAGAAAAGACGAGAAGGCACCACTAACTGTTTTCTTTGTTCCGTCATAAGCCAACAATGAGTTTATGAAACTATTAAGGGCCTTCTTTTGTTAGCCTATTTTTAATGCTACTGACAACATTTGCAGTTTGATTATTGCAATAAAGCATAATTATGGCTGTTACTACAATACTACAATAAAATACTCTTCTTTTAACAAAAAAACTCATTTAGGTTTAAGCATCAAGCTGAAAATAATAAAATACCTGGAAGGTCAAATTCTGGATTTTTATCTTTGAAGCAGACGAATCCTGCTCAGTTCCTCCCCATTTAGAGTAGAAATGATTCCGATAATGTGTTATTAGTAATGTTCCCTGCAGAGCGGTTTTGCACCATGCTTGATGAATGAGACGTTTTCCATTTAATATTTGCATGCTGAAGGGCATCCGGGGCAAAACTGCTGCAGATAAGGCGGTGATGAAGAACTAGTTCAGACCGGTCTCTGAACTGGGAAAGTCCCCACATGCTTCTCTATTTCAAACAGAAAAAGCACCTCGAGGTTTAAAAGATCAACTGAAGGGCTCCTCACGCCTTCCTCTCCGCAGGAACCATCTCAACGAGTCGTTTAGTTTCATTAGAAGGTTTGAAAGCTTCTACAAATTGAGATGAATCCAGTCGCTCTCACTGCACCAAACCAATCAGGCACATTGCTGCACTGTTACACGTATGCAAGTCGCTGTGTCCGTTGGACATTTGGGTCCATTGTTAAAGGAAAAGACATATGTTTTGCTGTTGTTTCAGCCATCGGTGCGACTGGCTATGCAAACAGTGCACTTCACAATTCAATTATTCGCTGAGATCACAGAATGCAAACATACAGCTGCAACGTTGCATCACCATGCAGGGAATATTTTTGGTTAACTAACACAGCTGTGCACATGGAGGGCTCTGTGCTGAGAACGTTGATCTGATGTTAAGGGTCCCTGCAGGTATAGTATGTGTGTGTGTGTGAGTGTGTGACCCTATGTTTTGAAAAGCTCCCCAAATCCCCACAGATGAGTCCTCCACCCTCAAGTTGAAGCCGTGTGAAATCCCTCCAGGCTGCTGTTAAAAGCCCGCCGTACAGCAGACACATTCTCCCGTTCACTGCTCTTTTCCTTTTGGATTTTATGCCATGCTACTCTGCAAGCACGCCGTTAAGGCTCGACGTGCACTGTGTGTGTGTGTGTGGGGGGGGACAACAACAATCTATGATTCATGTGACATGCTCTGAGGCCTTGCCATGCATGGGTTTTCAGAGCCGGCTTTATCAGGAGGCGGCGTGGAGCAAGCGAGCGAGCGGCTCCCGGCGGCGCGCTTGGCCGCGCGCTTACGGCGGCACTCGTTCTGCATCCGATTCATGCCGGGCCGGACGCGCCTTTCCAGACAAAAATCTATATCTATTTTTTAAAATGTTTTTAAAACTTTCGCCAAGTTTGTTTTTGCACAGACGGGCAGGTTCCCCGCTACGCGCAAACTGTGATGTACGACTGCACTGTGTCAATGATTGTCAGTACCAAAGTCATGCATCAGCTCTGTGTTTAAGCCACCGGGGTAGAGCCTTCAACCCCCCCCCTCCTCGTGAGTTAGGTCTTTGACACTTCCCCTCAAGCTCTCCCCCTTTTACTCACACAGTCCTCCCTCACACCCCCTGCCCCTGCCTTCCACGCTGCTCCTCTTCACGTATCTCGTCCTGTCTTTCTCTCCTTGGTCCTCCTGCGGCCTCCAGTCCAGCCCCACATCACCCAGCTGAAGAACGTGACCGCCGTGGAGGGCAGCGCCGCCATGATCTCCTGCGTGGCTGAGGGCGAGCCTCTGCCCGACATTTCCTGGAGGAGAGCCGGCGATGGACAGACCTTCGTGGACGGAGACAAGGTAGAGACAAGTCCGCCTGGCTGTTTGCGCGTGGGTGTTGACTCTGAGCTAACACACACACACGTGTGTTGTAACAAAGACATTTCACTCCAGTACTAATAAAGACGAGTTCAATGGTTTGAAACATTTCTGGATGCATAATCAACAGAATGTTAAGACGTTGAACTGTTGACTTATGTCTGTGTATCGAGTTGTTGGAGATGTCTGGAGACCAGTGTGTCTTCAGTCCAACAGAAGAGGGGAAGAAGTAGAGTTTGCCAATATCACACCCGCGGTCTTTGTGCATTTGGAAGGTTTGTGGAGGAAAAAAAACAACACACAATTTACATGTGTCTTCCCTTATTCTCTGGTGGAAACGTCGTATATGCCAAATGTCAACTGGCTGATGAGGTTTTAAAAGGTTTTGGTCAAACAAAGGTGTGCTCAAACAACCGGCCAAGTTAAAGCTTAGTCAATTAACAAAAACGGATGTTCCTGCAGCGAGAAAAGTACATTTTCTTCTTTCTACGTTGTCATGGTAACCATCAGATTGTATTCGTGGGAGGAAAAAGTGTTTGAGCCTAGATAGATTGAGTGCTAAAAGAAACATACAACGTGAACAGGTAATTACTGTCCTTGTAAAAAAATGTGAGCAGATATAATCATTCCAACCTGCCATACGTGGAATGTTTTAATTATTATGTGTCGCTAGCGGTGCCTTTGAAAGCTACATCTGTACTAGTACAGTGTGATTTGCTCTCACTTTGCTTTGCTCGACCCTCTGTTGAAATCACAGCTTCACTCAAATAATGCATTCACCTTGGTCCATGTCTCTTACAGGGAGTGTTTAAGTCTCCCGACTTGAGATTATTATCTCAAGGGAAATCGGCAAGCGCATTTATTTTGATTAGCTCTGTGCACAAAGAAGCAGCAAGAACCTTGAAGTTTTCAGGACAAACGTTAATACTTTCAATTTACTCTTTAATTTACCTGTCTTTGACAGCAACACACAGACGTTGAAAATGATGTCACAGTCCAAATACCTGACTGCATGTGGTCCAACGGAAGCAACTGAAAAGACACTGAAAAGAAACTGAAAAGACACAAAATACACAACGCTGTTGTGTATTTTCAGGACTTGAATGAGCTGCATCCACATTCTCTTGGAAACGTAATTATTCTCAAACGGGCTGTCGTCAATGTCAAAAGCAGATGCACTCCCATCACAGCCGCCCTGGCGAGGCGACTGAGGCTCTCACACGGGGAGGTGAAAAAAAGCAAAGATGGCAGCCATTCTTTTGCCGAGGAAGAAAAAAGGTCACGGCGGAGATGAATGAATGTGTGCATTGGCTCGAATCGCTCGCGTGGATAAATCACAGCCGAAAATGAGAGTAAGTGCTTCGCCTCCCGCAGCAAATGCAATTATGGAAATGCGTAGTGCAAACCAAAACACCTCAACATACGCAAAGACAAACACGGCTGGAGCAGCACGAGGCGTGATGGATGGCCGCAGTCATTTACTTCTAAGGCGGGATGTTCCCCTCTCAATTTGCTCTCCAATCTGCATATCCAGTCTGCACACACTCCTCTCCTGTTGGGGGGCATTCCGCTTCAAACAGCTCAGTTTGACTCCCTGCACAATGCTGCCTTGGTCCTTCTCATTCCTTGCCAACTAGCACCTTGACCCTCTGTAAGAGAACATAATGGGATCAAGTTCACGGAATTGAATTATATTATTATGTTGTTTCGCGCCTCGGTTCCATTCATTCATAAATCCCAGAGCTGAAGAGCTGCTGACTTGCACTTTTGCTTCAATATTCAATATTCTGCATCCCCCCTCGTAGAAGGGGCAGACGAAGAATCGCTTCGTTGCTCGTTATTTGGTCCCGTTGAGAAGTCAAGCTTGGAGTCGCATTGGACCGTCACACTTCACTCCCACGTCTTTTTTTCCCGTTTCTCACCGGCTCTCCAGAGCAGCAGAATCTGAAGCTCAGTCAAGTCGTGAATGGGGTCCGGGCGAGGACCGTTTCCGCCCCTTGTTGCCCCTCCAGTCGTCATCAAATGTCATCCCGTTGTCACGACGATAAGGTGATGCGGTAATCCCTGTTGCGCAGATAGGAGCGCCCCGTGTTTAGCAGCAGCTCGCAACTGTTTGAATACGCAACGCTTGCAAGAATTAGTGTTTCCAGCCTCGCTGACATTTAGCGCTGACATTTTTAATATCGGAAAATAGTCCAGCATTTAGACGGAAATAACACAGGAACAAAGCTCCAGATTTTTTCTAGTTCTCGTGGATCAGATAGCGACGGGCTTTCATATCAGCTCGTTTCATATTTTTGCCCTCCTTCTCTTTTCATCTCCGCCAGTTCCTCTTTCTTCTTCCACATTGTGTTTGCCTTTCACCGCTTACTGTTTACAGTATGTGTGCGCAAGCACGGAGTTGCCGATACATGCGTGTGTGTGTGTGTGTGTGTGTGTGTGTGTGTGTGACTCTCCGCTGTGTTCACGTCTGGCCGCCTGCCTCGTCGTTGGACTGAGCTGCATATCAAACAGGCTGTGCTTCAGGGGCTGAGTTTGTCTCTCGACAGACCCTGTCAGTTGGAACGAGGGGGAGGGGGGTAAGCAAGTAATTTCCTGACTCAGAAGCTCCCTCCTGGAAGATTTCCTCTCTCCCTCCTCCTCCTCCTCCTCCTCGTCCTCGGCACATTTCTATTCAGCACACACTCTCCCGATCCCATTGACCCCAGCTGCCGAACGAGCAAGTGGGCAGCGGCAGCACAAAGAGACCAGGGCCGGGCCTGGGAAAGCCGCTCCACCTCATCGGCCGATGGTGCTGCAGCGATGGGAGCAGCGATAAGCCGATGGTGCTGGAGCAGGCGCCGAGCGACCCCATAAAGAGTGTGATACAGAATGAGACACAAAAAAGTATGAGCAGTGGGGGGCGCTTAAAGGTTCTGGGTGTGCATGGATTTACTGTGCAAATCTATGGAGGAGGAGTGCAGAATGTGCACACACCTTTTTACCAAATACTTACTTATAAATATGTATATGCACAGATGCTAAGCTAAGCTAACAGGCTCAAATGGGACAAATCCAGCATGAGTAGCAACCTTCTGAATTCATTTAGGAAACTCACAATACCAATTTGATTGCAATCCTGCATTAACGCCTTAAGCTGAATAACTATTAACTATTCTACTCTGTTTGAGTTGTTTATCGAAGTTGACTTAATTGACTGAATAAGTGGCAACAATGTGGAGTTTTTTTTTAGTCACTAGTCCTGATCATGATTGTCTCCGATTATCCAAGCTGGTCCACTTAGCAGAGCCAACATTTCAGCCAGCGCTGATACCCGCGATTCCTCTCCTGAACAGCCGAGGAGAGATTGCCACTCTGTAATGTATGCCACGTACTGTGTGGGCGGTACTTACACTGAAAACACCCCACGGTGCTCTCCGACTGAATAATAAGAAGAACTCAGTTAAAACTCTGTTTCCTATTCATGCCGCTGCCTAATGCATAATGCCGAAGAGAGATCCAAGACGACTTCTTCATTGCGCATACGTATCGAAGACGAAACGTTGGGGCAAACCAGCGCCTTTTTGGTCATCGTGTGCATGAACTGAATCACTGCTGCAGCCCCTTTGGTCCACACAGGCCGCTCGACGTCAAAGCAACTAAATATGTATTTATAAAACTGCTACTGTTACGCACTCGTTTACCGAGCGAATCCAATCCCAACTGCAGCCCTGATACAGCTCTTATTAAATGTGGGCGGGACCTCAGAGAAGGAGTTTTGCGGGGTGACGAAGGTGATCTGGTGGGAGGCTGCTGCCGTATAGTGTCTGCAACACGGATGCTCCCAGGCCGCGTTTTTTCCCATTAGAGTGAATGTCGATTACTAGAATGATAGCCTCGTCTGCTGTAATTGACCCGTTGCTTCAAATTGATACCATCTGTCTTCATACAGATGTAATGACCTTGTAATAAATCGACAGTTTATTGCATTAACCCCGACATTGTGGGACCAGGGAGGGTTGTCTGCGAGGGGGGTCCGAATAGATCATGCGGCCGCTCAACGTCGGACGGGGAACCTTGTGCATGAGACTGGAGTGGAGACCTCGTGTGGTGTTTGCTTTGTGTCCCCCTCTTCATATCTCAACACTGCGTCGCACAATCACAAGTTCATGCGTGGCAATTACGATATCGCAAAAGAAATTGTCATTATGCATAATAACTATAATCTTTTGTCTGATTAGCTTCTCCCCGTTGTGCTGCAACGCATTTCATTCATCAAACCAAACCACTTATTACGGGCAATAACCAGTGGAAATTATAGGAATGTGGATGACAATTATCTTTAGTCTTTGTCCAAACCACACAGCTGACCGTCTGCTGCCTGGTAGCCAATCAGAGGAGCATATCGACAGGCTGTGAACGGGTGTGTTTGCGTCCCCAGAGTCGGGACGGACGCTTCGAGGTCCGCGGTCGCCACGGCAAGTCGGTGTTGACCATCAGCGGCGTGAAGCTCCTGGACTTGGGTCGATTTGACTGCGAGGCCCTGAGCAGGATTGGAGGTCATCAGAAGAGCATGTTCCTGGACATTGAGTGTGAGTATGAGTGATACTGATCTGTGTTTCCAGTTCCATTTACTGCTGCTAATTAGACGGCGACCTCTGTCCTGAGCAGAGGTCTCACCTGGCGACGCAGCTCATACACTCATCCAAACGGGAGTCTACATTTGTAATGACCAAATCAATTAGTCAGCTTAGAATCTTTCATGGATATTGGAATTATACTACTTTATCTGCAATTACCAGAGGCTCCTACCTAATAAACAAATAAAATTACATTGGTTCACAGCACATTGAGTTCCGTGAGTCGATGTCAGTGCTTATTATTTATTGCACAGTTGGAATCTTCAGCAATTAGCAATGTAACATTGTCTTTGGGCAAAATAAAATAAATTAGATTGGTACTTTTGGGGCCCCGGTGGCCTGACATAACCCCACCAACTCCTCCACACTGCATTTCCATTACTGCTATCAGATCCCTAATGTGAAAATGAAACGCGTACACACACTTAAGCAGTGAAATCAGCAACCCGGAAAGCAAAGCGAGCTCCCCTGCAGTCTAGTTCGGAGTTCAAAAGTTCAGTTTCTAACAATCATTTTCACATCGAGGCTGTTTTTCTTTCCGCAGATCATTATATTATCATAAATAACGCACAGGGTCACCCAATGCAGCCTTCAGAAGGGGTTAATAAGTGAGAGGATGTAATGCCCCCATGCTCCCCTGCTCCCCCCTTCCTCGGCGCTGGTTGTTTGATGCAGACTGTCCCCTGCCTAATGAGCTCTGAACAGAAGATCTTCATTTTGGCCTCGGAATTATTAGGTTCATTATGAGAGCGGCTCTGTTGCCCGAAGGACACCGATGGAAAGTGCATTTGTTTGGAAGCGACATTATTTCCACCTCGAAGCTCAGAACAGCAAGAGAGGGGGCAGACAAACAGGTAGAGAGCCGGGGAACTTACTTGAAAGAAATAAATACCGCAATTTTCTCAACTTCAAGGTTCACGGATTCCTCGTTTTGCATAGTTGTCCAAAAGTTGACATTTCTGGAAGTTGTTTCATGAAATCATCGTGCGGGGGAGAAAATTAAAGTCCCAAGCATGCACGACTCCCCCTCTGCAGACGGAGCGGCTGTGAGTGCGGCGCGGCTGAGCCAGCCGTTGCCACCCAGCTAATGAACTCATTTACTAAGTCGCTGCAGGGGGATAACGCGTCCTCGCCTGTGACAGAGAGCCACGCATCAATCTCTTTAATGGAATCCTGCAAGCGAGCATACAACAAGCATAATGCCTCTCCTATTGAGCCGAGCTGACTGGGCCAGAAGAAATCTGCACGACAGCCCGCCACCGCAATGGTCCATTACTGCTCTCCCTATTTGCTTGGGCAAATGAGCTTCAGCTTGCATCCTTTTTTTTATTCTTGGTGAAATGATCGTAACGGAGATGCCCCCTCCAGCATGCGGTGGCTTCAATTAAGTCTTTTTTTTCTTCTTACATTGCAGAGGGAGTTTGAGAAGTGTACATGAAATGCTTGTTTCTTTACTCTTTGAGGAATTTTTGGATTAAGCCCCAGCAAGTGGCTTTATGCCTTTGATCATGCAGCACAGCTTCACCTTTTGATTTGAGTTTTTTAATTGGCTGCCACAAATTCCTGGTACTGCAGCAATTACTCTTTTATTACATTTGTGTAATGGTTTAGCGCGAATTTACGGGATCAATAAGGCTAGTGTTGGAGACGGTGCCTCTGTTTTTCTGGGACAGACACACCAAAGTTCCTGAACAACCACACCATCCATTACTCGTGGGAGGGGAATCCAGTGAACATAAGCTGCGACGTGATGTCCAACCCTCCGGCCACCATGCTGTGGAGGAGAGAGCGCCTCACCATCTCTGCGGAGGGCACGGCCAACACGCGCGTGCACAGCGCCAGCGGCAAGTCCGTGCTGGAGGTGGGTACGAGTCGAGAGCTGCGAATGACTTCGTGGTGCCAGATCCCGGATTTAGTCGCAGTGTTGGCTGGAGAAAAAAACAAAACAGAGACAAACTGTGATTATAGGCTCTATTGAGCAAACAGAAGCATTTGAGAGGTGCAGAGAAAATGCTGCTCATGATTCTTAGCAGGCGCTAAAGCCGTCTCTGCCTGGCTTTTGGCGATATTGTAAAACACTCTTTGATACTTCTGATCAAAAAAGACACTGCACACAAGAAGAATGTCTTTCTCCTGGTTCTAGGTGACTCCCATGTCCGACAGGGACTTTGGCCGCTACAACTGCACAGCCAGGAACAACATCGGAGTTCGGTACCAGGAGTTCATCCTGGCCCAGGCCGGTGAGTGTGCGGGACGGCGAGCGTGGCGTGGCCCCCTTTGATCGATGTAACGACGTCGCCCCTGCTTCATATGACGTCCAGGATGTGGCTGAGGAGCCTACACACAACTGTTCGACCACTTTGTAACCATCTACCTCTCTGCTAACGTTAATAGCTTTATTTGCAATTCTCAGGAAGATCAATTCTACGACAACTTCCCAACTTCCATTCCGTCGAATCTGAAACAGTACCATCTGATTTACCGGACCTGTGGCCATTTACTGAAGTGCCCCCTAATTTACGGTAGCGCGGTCCAATTATCTTTAGTGCAGATTGAATTGCTCGAGCTAAGGAGAAAAGTAGTGAGCAAAAACGTCTGACCTAATATGGAGTCTGGCAGGAAACGATGAACATTTCAGGAGACTCTCAGGAGGACACACACACACACAGGGGAGTACACACACACACACGCACACTAACGTAGTTGGAAAACTTTATATGGGTAATCTCCAGTGTAACCTCACTTCTTTAAACTTACAACACCAAAAATTTCTGCACTGGTCTGAAAATCTGAAAACTGTTGGTTTGCAGCTAACAAAAAGTCCATTGCTTTCAGGTACTACAGCCATAACCTTTATATCGGGCATTTGATTTGAAGTATGAAAGCAATCTAATACATAGAAGGCTCAGAGTGCAGCCTTCAAAGTGCCTTCATCCTCAGTGAGAAAATGCAAATGTCAAATCGTATGTATGGTTTGAAATAAGAATCTCTCAAAGAAGCAAAAGCTTTTAAAACAGGAACAATTCAAAGGCCGCGACCCATATCGTTATGTCTCTTTTTCAGATGTTCCATCCAATCCGTACTCGGTGCGCCTCTCAGCTGTTTCCCAGCGCCTGGTGACCGTCACCTTCATGAAGCCCGACTCGCACGGCGGCGTGCCCATCAGCTACTACCTGGTGCAGTACAAGGAGGCCGGCTCCCAGGAATGGAGGGACGTCAGGTCCCACAGCATCCAGAGTGAGCGGGGGGTCGTGTTCACCGTTCAGCTGAAGGGCTCTTCCATGTGGAGATGTGTTTTGTTCAGGCTCGTGTCCCACAGTTCCAAAAGCTCCACTCAAACTTCCGCCTCACACAGCGGCGAAGTCGTGCCGTCACGGTGCCGCATTAACATCCCGTCAGATCGAACGCCACCAGTCGCGCGTCACATGATCTCGGCGGACGCCTCACGGGGAGGGTGCCCGAAAATTGATTTCTGAGCCAGCGGTCGGGGGAGTAGTACACCGTGAGGTGATGTGTGGATGGATGGGAGGTAGAGGAGGTCGTGTGCTGAGCAGTATGAAGAGCTTATCACTAATATCTCTCATTTCACAGTTACAATGTGTAGACGCAGCGAGGCGAATGCTAAACCAGAGGTAGCACTTCAACAGTAGAGAAAAAATTGAGCGGAAAGAGTTTTGACTAATTACAAAGCAGTAAGTGGTATCTTATAATCTTAGAAGCCACTTCACATGCCCTCAGCAGAAGATCATTACACAGTTTAATGAGATGCCTGGACTTGTTTTATTTCAATGCGTTTGCCCAAATTGAAACGTCTGCTTATAGCCTGGTTAGTAACCTAGCGCCGCTGCAAATTGCAGAATTTGTTTTCAGTTCCAGGACTAAAGAACTGCAAAAGCACCTATTACCATTCAAGTGTTTAATTTGTGCAGACTGACAAAAACAACACGTTTCACTCAAGCTCATTAAACTGCCGGCTCTCTGCTGCCGTGCTGAGGAGGGAAGGTTGTGTAGATAAACTCCAGTGACTGTAGAATATTAATAAGGAATCTGTAATCTGGTGCAAAAATGAGTATTACTACTTTCTTCAATAACCAGTATGAGTGAATACAATAAGGTTTTACTGCTGCTATAGTTCTTATTGCCTTTATAACAATGTGCTGTGTCTCTATCCATCTATCCTTGGAATTTATTGTCTATTAAAACTTAACTTTGGAATGACATGTTATTAATTACACTATATAGTGTTTACACTGTAAATTCTAGGTGGTATTAAAAAAAATAATATACTCATACTATTTCTTACTTGTCTTTTACTGGAGTGAAGCTGCTTCTCTATTTTCAGTCAGAGATGCATAGTTTTTACTTAAACAACCAAGGACACTCTCCTCCGGTCTGTTGCAGCACCTCGGACAGGGCCACACCTTCACACAACAACAACCCACGCTATCTGAGGATAACTCCAATTATTGTTCCTGCATAATGTTCGTTTTCCTATTAAATGGTTATGAAGTTATGAAGTATTTGTCCCACATTAAACTGGGAGACCCATCCGTGTAGCCAGCTGCTTTCTTTGTGCACTGTGGGGCCAATCGGAGCTGGTCCTCACCACCCACAGCTGCCCGTCGTGATCTGCCGTCGGCTGGTTGTTCTCCATCGGTGTTTTAAACGACGCACTCTGCTACCCGCGCCGGTGGCGGTCCCCACGTGAGCTCTGGTGCCGTCTCTCCCTGCAGCGACCGTGGTGCTGACGGGGCTGGAGCCCAACACGACGTACGAGGTTCGAGTGGCGGCTGTGAACGGGAAGGGTCAAGGAGAGTTCAGCCACAAGGAGAACTTCCAGACGATTCCCATCCGTGAGTCCCGTCGCATTCTGCACGACGAGAGCTTCTGGACTCGCTGCCATGTGACCCGACAAGGGATCCGCAAAGCGACTTAAACAGCCACGTCCATAAAGCCCCAGCTCATAACCACGTGTAATCATTTCTAGGATAGTTTTACAGCATTTAACCTGGGGTTATTGTTGAGAGGGGGCACATGGCAGCGTTTCATGCTCATTATCAGCCGTATGTCGTATGTTTTATGAAATGTGACGGTAAACGCACATAAACAGCTGTGGAAGTTGATTAATATGAGAAAGATATTTGTGTTTTATGTTAAAGTTAAACCGTAAAAATGAAATACTTTAACAGCAGGTTGGCGGTAAAACGGGTCGAAGTGTTTTTGCAGTTTATATTATAGTATCAGTAATGTAAGGAATGTAATAAAGAAGACCCAATTAGCAGTATGCAGTGAATAATAAGAACCTCAACATTAGTTTTGTCTCACAATACCTTTAAAACCTTTGCTCTCCTTGTACTGCATCTTTATCTCATATCTCACACTGCCACCTGCTCCTTGGGAATGCACACACAGAGAAAACACACAGACCTGATGTTTTGCGTATCCACCCCCCTCCCTTCCCCCCCCACAGGGGAGCCGAGCCCGCCGGCGGTCCACGGGCAGAGAGGGATGGGCAAGGCCTACAGGCTGGGGCTGGTCAAGCAGGACGACGGAGGGATGCCCATCGTGGAGTACATCGTCAAGTACAAGACTGTGAGTATTTCAAACGGCAGAATCCATCTTTATCAAGTCTGCGAACACGTCCACAGGTCCATGATCCCGTTTACAAAATGAGGACCATCAAACTTAGAGGAGGGTTTTTCTTGAAGTGGAAACAACTCTAAACGAGCTTTCTTTGTGTTTCACGCAGTAGCGGTGAAGGCTGCCACAACACAAATCCACTCGGCTTAAGAATCAAAATGTTTATGTGCTCGTGCCACTTTTAATCCACATTTTAAAAGAGTACACACCAGCTGTCAGAGTTCACTCATCCATTTCAGAATTTTCTGTGTAAAAAAGCGAAAAGCAGCTTAAACATACAAGATAAGGCGAGCGACTGAGGCTGAATTGATGGCACTTGCACAAAAACTCTCCACAGGACTAAGTGGATCTGATGCGTCCAAGCAGGCGCTTGTCCGTCTCATTGAGGAAGTGACAGCGAGTTTAAACAGCTCGCAGAAAAGCGGGTTAGGAGGTCTCAGTGAGGCTTTTGATGGCCGAGCGGGCAGCCAGCGCTTTACACCCCAGTAATCACGCGCCGCTGCATCATGGAGGGGCGAGCATGCAGGATGCAAACAGATTAGACTGGAACATGCACACACACACACACACACACAAACTCATCACAGTCACCTGACAATCCAGACAGATGGTAAATACATTCATGCCTTCTCTGTCCTCTAACGTAGGGAGGAAATGATGCCAAGGAGGCAAAAATGGTAAGCACGATCGGGCTTTCGGGCGCACACTTCAGTTTTTCAATCCTTTGTTTGCCATCCATGTCTCGACAATATAAGTGGGAGGGCGGAAGGAGGCAAAGAAAGAGTGGTGTGAGGAATGGGAGCATGGAGAAAAAAAAGACTGGAACAGAAAGGGATCGGAGAACTCGACTCGATGAAAAACCGAGCACTACCTTTTCTTTTAAGCTATGCACGTGCATCCGTGTGGGCGTTCCGACACCCTTAAAGTAACTCTCCCAATCCGCAGATTAAAACCACGGCTTTTTCATTGAATGAAACGCCTCCTATGCTCTCCTTTGATGCTTGGCCGCAAAAATGAAATAGGAGCATTGATTGAAGTGGTAATTCATTCCGGCGTAACAAACATTTCTTTTCCATTTCCCTCCGCTATCTCCCCCCTTTCTCTCTCCTCTCAGGATAAAGAGGAACAGTGGATGACCAAGCTGGTGCCCGGGGCCAATGATTTTGCGATGTTGCAGCCGCTGCAGTGGAACACGAGATACGAAGTGGAAATCACAGCGCGCAACGTCAAGGGCCTGTCGGAGCCCACCTTCTATCAGTTCTTCATGCCCCAGAAACCGGACATTACAGGTAAAAGCGTGATGAAAAGCCAGCGTTGACTTGTAATTTGCCTCTTCAATCCATCGACTTTCCCTCTGGCTGGTATCTGAGGCCTTTTGAAAGCCCCTGGAGGAGGTTTCTGAAGCGTAGCGTTAAGCGGCGGGTTGTTGGTGCCGCTGGATGGAGCGATAGCATTCCGCAATAACAGAACCAGTGGAGATAAAGCGAGCCTCAAAGTGCAGGTCTGGCCGCCGCCTTGTTTACTGGGGACACATGGAGGCTGCTGTCGGTGGAGAAATCGAGGGCCTCTTCTCAAGCGGCTTTCTCCCTCCATGATTGCTGAGTGCAATTTGAATCTGGGGAAGCAGAATGAAGTGTTTTCCTCTAAAGAACACGTCCACTTGGACTGTCGTGCTCTCTGCAGGCCCACAGAGGCCCCGAGAGGAGAGGCCCACCCTGCTGGCCACAACACACACACACACACACACGTGTCGCTGGAATACTAATGTGATGTGCGGCCCGGGCGTTCCAGCCTCTCCTCTCGGACCTGTTTGGGCCGCCGCGGGTCGAACGAGTGTTTGCATCTGTCGCCGCGGCGACGGCTAAACGTCCTGTGAGAGCGTTTGCTGCTTTGCAGATGGCGAAACGGCGCGCTGAAAGCGGGTCGCTTCGACCGGCTGTCCCCTCTTGTTAGGAAACAACGGGGCATCGCAGGAAAGAGGGAGAGGCGGGGGAGAGAAAAGGGGAGGGAAATAGTTTTTCCTCCCTAGGGGAGAATCAAATGGGCGCTTTAAGTTTACAGCATCTTCATTAGAAGTAACGGCCTCAATCTAGATATTTCTCCGGCAAAATAACGTTAGTTTATTTAAGTAATCCAGGGACGTCAAGCAGGTCAGACGGAAAAGGAATCCGTCACATTTACCGCTCCACTGAATCAAATTGGTTGTGGACGATGTCCGGAGAGCTCAATCAACAACATTGCATGAGGAATATGTACCGATTGCAATCGCAGACTTTCTCTCCAATTCAGCGCCTGGCTTTTCTTTTTCCACTTATGCAACGTGAACCCAATAAAAGAAACCTTTCTTTTTGCTCGACACAGAAAAGATGTCCACACCATGTAGGCGCCTTCTCTCTCTCTCACCGCACAATTTAGCTCTTCAATTCTCTCCGTCTTGTGCACCTGCAGGCTATTGAAATTGCACTCTTTTTTTCCTCCGTCCTATTTTGCTTTGCAGCGGGCTGGATAACCTTCCTCCGCCTCTGCTCACCAGAAGACAAATGCCATCGATTGCGACACTGCCCTGCTCCTCTTCAATTTACTCTCCTTCCTTTTCAAATCAAAGTTTTCTTTTCACCTGTTAAATCACAGCTCTGTCCCTCTGCCATCACAGCGCTGTGTCTTTGGCGCCCTTTTGCATCGCTCCGATTCGTTGATGAAGTGGCTTTTTCTTCTGATGAACCACATTGTCACCAAGATGCCGTTTGGATCGACGGCAGCTTTGCTATTAAACAATCTCCACCTTCCTACAGCTGTTAGAACTGACCTATATTAACCTACGTTATTAAATTATTGGGGAGCTTTGGTGTTTCGGGTTCAGGACTTTTAAAGATATCATCGTACAACAACGTTGAGAATTGATATTTAAACTAAAGCTTGAAGCCTGGTGTGTTTTGAGACACTGGACCAGTAATGGGTGAACTGGGAATGACAACACAAGGATTTACAGTTGGCCTTGACTGGTTAGTTTATCCATCATAAAAAATAAAGTGATGAATGAATTAAATAACAAACTGGTGGAGCAGGAAGATGTGTGTATCCATGGCAACCACCAACCTATTGAATAGCAGCAGTGGAAGATAAATTATGCTTTGTATCACTAACGAGGTGCTTGAATATAAGACTGTATCCATCTAATCCTTTCTACATCCTGTATCTGACACGTTGTCACTGGTTACTCACTGGTTTCCCCAACACGTACAGAATGATGGGATGTGATGTGGTGCATCAATGTCCGACGGCAGGATCTTCTGATGATGATCGCGGTCAGCTTCGCCTATTACTGGAATAAATTGTACGTTTCGAGCTCTGGTTGCAGTGCTTCTTCACGCTGCTGCTGGTGCCGACGAACTGCTAACAGCTCGGGATCAGCCTCGTTTTGTTTCTTGGCTCCCTCCAGTCAAGCGCAGTAAACATCCTTCATTTAAACCGCCGTCATAGAGTTTGTTGCACTAACTTCATCGGAGCACTTGATGAAATAATGCAAAAGAGTGGAACTACTCCTGGAATTGGTGCCTGCAAATCAAGTGGAAAGTGTGTTGTGTCAGTACATTGATCCTTGCCCCCCCTGTTTCTAGAGTTAACATCATTATTGTTTTTAAAGCAGTGTAATGAAAAAGATCCATGACAATCACCTCAGCTGTTGACAGTATTATCTTCCACTGCCCAGGCTATCTGGGTTGCAAACCTTTCGATATTTTTATTATTATAGTCAATACCTTTCAAGGACTCTCCATTGGCTGAATAAATATCCTGCTGGTGTCAATCAAGTATCTGATATTCACAGCTTCAGAAAAGAAAATATATCCAGAGGGTAGAAATGTAATAAAGAAATGCAATAAAGAGTAAAATGATGTTTAGTGAGTCCAGCAGTCTTGGCTCTTCATGAATCCACTTTATTCCACTGGGAAGCATTGCTTTTGTTCAGTATAATGGTGGTTAGCGGTTCCATGCATGCGCACATTCGTTCAACACACGTGTGCATTAATAGACACTGAGCCGAGGCTTTCTGTCTCTAAGATAAATAAGTCAAGCTGTTACTACAAAGCCAAATGAGCTTCGTAGGGAAACACGTCTGCTGCATGCTTTGGGTATTTTCCAAGCAGGATTAGCTTTTGACTCAACAGGGTTTCTCACGAAACAACACAAATTAACAACTTTTCAAATATCTACATTGGGAATTGAGCTTGGTGACAGAACAGAGTTTCTTGCTCATAGTCTGTCGTTGATTTGATCAATTTCGGAAGGTTTTTAGCATCACTAAAATCTGTTGATCATCTGACGTGTTTTAGTAGTTCAAATTAGGCTTTTCGAGCACTGCGATAAACGTTTTAGTTGAGTGCTGTTTTGTATTTAAATCTGTGGCTGGAAACGTGGATTTCAGCTACAAAGATCAAGGTAGCGACACTTGTCTTCCTCCTGAAATTAACCTCTGCAATTACAGAAGAGTGGTCCATAGTTCTTTGAAGTCTTGATTTTTAAGGACATACATATTTATTTAAAGTATTTTCCCTGGGCTTTCACTCCTGAGTGCACTCGAGTCGCATCAAGGCTTCCGTCACGGAAATGATTATGTTTGACTCTGCGAGGTCCTCCTCAAACAAACCTTCCCTTCAACAACCCGAGGCACTTAGGAAGAATCCGCAGACGCTCCCGTTCGTCCCCCGGCCGATTAGCGGGCGCCACCTTCCCGATCAATGGACGGCCGCGGGGCCGTCGTTAATCGAGGCGCCTCCTCTGCGATGCAATCGAGGGACAGGCGATCACCGCTCGGGCCTGATGAGTTTGTCCCGTCAAAGTGAGATGTGTGGCGACCAGCAGCCGCTAATGGGCCCATATATCAACAAGTAATCAGAATGAGTCAGCAAAAGGGTTAATAGAGCGGGGAAATGAGAAGGAGCGGCCGCGCAGTTGGTGAAAAGTCCCACAGACAAGAAATTGGTTATTTCCAGCCGGGCGTCCAGGGAAACACTGGTGATAAGAGAGTGGATTCCTCCTCGTCTTCCAGGGGGATCAAGGAAATAGGTAAACACATCCTAGATTGAGTTACTTTATCACAGCGAGTTGCAGGTTTAGGAGAAACAATCCCTGAGTAGCATGTTTCACCTCTTCGGCCACGATATAGTAGATGGATTGAGGCCAATGTTGTGCTGTCACCCCAAATCCTCCTTGAAGGAATCTTTTAAACGAAGCCTTCACGGCAAAACCCAACTTCACACTCTCTGCACTCTCAATTATGCCCTTTTTTTTAAATGACAGCAGGTAGCATCAAACAACACCCTCAGGCTAGAGGGACTCAAAGAATAACCACAGTTATGGTGCTTTAAAAGCCAATTATGTATTCATAATTGGACTAATAAAGCTATAATAGACGCGGGAAAAGTGACTGCGGCTGCACAACCATGCAGAGATGGTTGCGCTGCATCTGGACTGCATTGTGACACTTAATACTTTAATCACATTGTGATTGCCGTAAAACAAGACAATGAGCATTGAAACAACAAGCTGGTGTTTCCATCCAATGAGCCACTTCACCACGCGAGCTGCTGGAAGGGACCTCGGCTGGTCACTTTGACTCGTGGCCACAGACGCGCTCGGCTGTGGTTCATCCCTGTCTGCTGAATATAAAAGTTAAGCTGCTTGTTTGGCCTTGAGTCCCTCGCACAGAGACCCGAGCCGCTCCGTGAGGAAACGCTTCAATACTGAAGGCAGTCAAAACAATATTGGAGCTTTTACTGCGTTAAATTGACTTTCCTTTCCTTTCCCTCCATTTTACACGACCCCCCACAGGAGACTCTTCTACTTCACAAACAGAAGCGTGTTTTTATTTCCTGCCTGATTCTTTAACAGAAGAATAGTTTCATGCACAGGGAACTAACCCCAAGCCCTTCAGCGTGCTCACAATAACATTCCATGCGTCCATATTGATAAATAAACTGTTGAGTTGATCTCTTTGTTCTCTACTGGATTTCAGTATTAATCTGTTCTTCTTCAAATGATCTCCACACTCGGCTGTCGAGGAAGGGAGCGACTAACAGGCGCATAACGTATCAATCCAACCCCAAACTGTCAAGCTGTTGCTGAGCCCTTTGGAGTAATTCTTCTTATCGGATGAAAGTCTGATGTTTTATGGATCTCACTCTGTCGGGCTGAAGTGACACTTTAATACAATCCTTTTTCTGGAGTAAAAACACTTTCGCTTTTCATGTTCACATCAGTCACCGTATTATCACAGGATCCCCTGTTTATGAGACAAGAATTCGGACTAATATCACGTTAAGCGCTGCATTGTTTAGGGCTCTATGAGGTGCAGAAATGTAAACCGCGATAGCAAAGCTTAAGGGCGCTGAGCTGAACTCGCTTTCGGGCCGTTGTTTAGCGCCCTCTGGATCTGTGGCTTTGGCAGCACAATTAACTTGGGTAAACTCCGGAGGTGAGATACAGAACTAGCCCGTATCGGTGGGAAAATATTGATCCCACCTGCGGGTGTCAGATGGCGCATTCACGGCTTCACGAGAGCGCAAAGGAGTTTAATTGGAGTTCTTTTTGCCACGTGGTTCCCTCGCTCCCTGGCTTCCTGCCTCTGCGTTGACTCGCTGCCAGGCGCCGCTGCGAGTCGAGAACAAAGTGACTGAGACTCATTTGGTTCGTGGCGCGCGGTGGCAACCTTCAGTGTGGAGCGGCCTTTGGAAATGTGTTGTTTTGGCTCAATGGAGCAGAAGTGAAACTGTAGCTGTGAGTTTCAATTTGAAGGATTTCTCATAGCTGTTGTTTCATTTCGAGTACGACGATAGAAAACATATAATGGCTCTTATCTATTGCAAGTTGTAAATTGGCTTATTTAATGAGATTGCACGTTCTTGTTTCTTGTTCTTTTGAGTGTGTATCCTTGTGGTTGAAATGCACTTATTGTAAGTCGCTTTGGGTAAAAGCGACAGCTAAATGGCATGGGATGTAAAAAACACCTTAAATGCTTCGATGCTCGTAGTGACATTAACACTTTACAGCTCATCATTTCTTCACCATGGTAAGAGGATCCTGTGTAATCTTAATTACAATGTCTTTCCTTAACACAAAGCAATACGGTCAAATAAAAGACTGTTGAGCTGCATTGTGGGAAATGTAGGACCCTGAGACATACGCGCGGTTAAAATTGTTTTGTTTTAATCCTTCTCTGGCAACCCTTCTAATTTCATGGAGGTGCTTTTCTTTTCTCTCACGCCTCCGAGGGGAACAAATAACCCCGAAAAAAAGGAACATCTCGACTAGTTGAAGTAAAAAACACACATTGAGGGTGTTTTTTTTAAAGACTGGCCGGCCTCCTCTGGGCGCTCGCACCTTCGTGTCGACGTGATCCTTCTGTCCTTGCCTCGCCTGGACCCTCACACGAGGGCCCTCTTAAGTGGGGGTGTCCAGTCACTCTCACTGACTGGCTGATTACTCCAGGCAGGGCGTTGACCTCCAGCCGTCGGCAGCGCCGCCGCAGCGGATGCTCCTTGTGCTCCGTTGGCTCAACCCCCCGGGATCCGGGGCACCGCTCCGTTCCGCTGGGCCCGCCGGGAGCGTCTCTCTGCCGCGCTACCTTCATTTTCTCATTACTTTCAGCATCGAGTGCGGGTCCCGCTGCTCGTTCCCGACTCAGCTGAGTGCTCGGTGTGTTTTTGAGGCGCTTTCCGACTTTTCCCTGAAAACACTTACTTTGCTTCCCGCGTGAATGTGTTTAGTGCTGCGAGCTGCAGAATAAATTGGCGCCCAGTGGACGCGGCGCTGAAGCATCAGTGTGGTAATGCTGAGTGGCACAATACAGCTGGACCGCGCGCACGATTCCTGCACCTGTTTGCTCGTGACGGAGAAGGAAGATGCAGAGCTGGAGGGTAAATACAGGAGAAAAAACACTTTTTCAGTCTTGGAAAATACTCACATTTTGGATTTAGTCAAAAGAGCAAAGCTGTTAAACATTTAGGAAGCTGCAAAGCTCTTGACGGTACAAATAAAGCATCAGTTTAGCAGGAGTTTTTTTTCCACCTGCCTCAAGCCGCTCTGGATCTCTTTTTATTCGATTTATAACATGAACTCTTCACAACCTCGAGCCAGACGTTGGATCTCCACCAGCACTCTGACCCCCGACCTCTGTATGCATCACGTGGACCGATATTGCTAACAGTTTTGTCCCCCCCTGTGGTCTGTGTGCGTGTGTGTTTTTCACTGCCTCAGCAGAATCCCTGTTCAGCGGCCTGGGGCTGGGGGCGGTGGTGGGCCTCTGCCTGGGAGCGCTGCTGCTGCTGCTGGTGCTGGTGGACATCAGCTGCTTCTTCCTGCGTCGCTGCGGCCTGCTGATGTGCATCACGCGCACGCTGTGCAGCAAGAAGACCGCCACCAGCGGCAAGGGCAAAGAAATAGAAGAGGGCAAGGCCGCCTACCTGTGAGTCCGCCGCATTGTTTTTCCTTATGAACTTGAACACAAAGGCTGTGATTCCGGCTGTAGCAGTCGGGGTGTTTCAGTGTTCGTCAGTCACCAGGTCATTCATTCCTGCAGAGGGAGCATCTGCTGTGGGTGTATCTGGATGCTTGTGGGTCAAACTGCTGTTAGAGTAAACTTAAATGACCTAAAGGGATACAGATCTTTACAAAGACATTAATCATTTGAATCCCGATCCAGCTTCAGACAAAAAAGAACTATACACATTTCTCAGACATTGAGAATTCATTCTAAATGAAATGATTTGAATTTGTCACAGAATTCTACATATTCCTCTTCAAATGGTGTCATGAATTGATAGTCATTTTTCATTTTCTGTGCTGCAAAGATTAATTTGTACTTTTCAAGTAGACATGAATAGCTCAGTGAAACCTGTAGAGTCTTAAGATCTTCAGAAACACATTCGCTGTGAATGGCAAAAGGAGACTTAACTGTACCATCTACTGTAGGTACACCTACAACAGCCGCCCAACCACCTTTTCAACCACAGTATGTTTTTGAATATGTCTTCTTCACTAACATCAGTGCGTCTCATACATGTCTGTGCAGTGCGTTTACCTATGGGAGAGTCTGGTCTGCATGCATTGTGTCCACATTCAGGTGCATGTGTTTAATCTCAGCCGTGTGTGCTACCATGCGTCCTGTTTGTATTTCTGTAGGTCTGTGTAGATTTTGCATGACATAGTGTTGGAGTGACACACAAACGTCTCACATGATTGCATGTCAGAGCAAGCACATGCGTTACCTTTTTTCCTTTCTTCTCATCCGCGCAATTGAAAGGCCCCGTGAAATTCCCAAGTGCCATAGAGGTCCTGATTTAGTCCACACCAGGTTTGATTCGTTGGCCTCAGGCGGTCCCATGTTTGTGTTGGCACCGTCAGTGCTTGGGATCCAGAGGGAGGGCACGGGGGAAAGGCAAAGGGAGGAGGGGAGGGTTACTTTTGCTGAGTCACTAAGCTCTCAGTGCCGGAGGGTTGAGCTGCCGCCGGCCTGCAGCTTCACGTCAGACTCGCACAAGCATCATCCGGCGTGCACGTTGCTACTAAGGCCTTTTCCCCGCTAAATTATTTTAATTTTAAGATTGAAGTGATGCTCCGGAAATACAGTGTTGCACTGCAATAAAAAAAGGGACAATTTCAACAGGTGAGGTTCTTCTCAGATATCCAACCTTTCATTTCAAGCAAAGCCCCAGAACCCTGCAGCCTTCATCGGGTGGAGGCATTTGGTAATACCTGCACAGCTAAGTGGAGACTGTTGGTTGCCTGTTGGTCCATCCGCAGAAAAATCTGTTTCCTACGATGCGTTGAGCGTAGAAGTGTGTGCGCCGACGGATGGTGCAGGGCGACGAGGTCACCGTGTTGTTTAGCTGTGTCTGGAGGTTTTTTTTGTCACATTAACTGCTATGGCGCGTTTCTACTGAACGGTACGGGTCGGGTCGGTAATCTTTTATTAGTGTCTCCACTGCCAAAAGTTGAGAATGGTACCAAAAATCCGAACCGTACCGTACCACTTTTTGGGTACCCTTCCGTTGGGGCACCTGGCACAGTTGTTTGGTACCAAAGGGCGGAGCTAGACTCACTGCAGAACGTTGATTGGTTGAAAGAGTGTAGTCATTTGCGCGTGCCGCAAGGGGAAACACCACAACAGCCGGAGTTTGCTCAAACAAAGATTGTCGTCTCCTTGTGACAAACAGCCGCATATCGAGAAGCAAGAACAGGATCGGCTGTATGTCCTCCGTTGTTGTTTGCGTACCGCTCGGTGGAAGCGCGCCACTAGTGATACCATCAGGGTTTCACTAGTGGCGCGCAGTCCCGTCCCAATACAGTCCCGTCCTGTCAGTCTGTGACCCAGGAGAAGATTCGAGCACAAGTTCCGCCTGGACTGGAATGCAGAACTATTGTCCAACTATTTGTGGAATAGTTGTGTGCGGATGTTCAGCGACCGGGTCACAAAAGCCTGTATGAAGGCATGACGGTAGCTTACAGTTAAAGCGCCTGTCTTCTGCTGGCTATGATAACATATGCTCGCTGAAAAAATGAATATCAAAACATTGTGACCTTCACCAGTTCACAAGACCTTTTGGTACTTGCCATCTTTTGACACCAATCAGAAGTCTCCTGACATGTGAGACATCAGCACCCCTGCAGTGCAGAGCTGACAAACTCGATTGTTGTGTTTCTCAGGCGATGCGTCATGCTGGTGTTTGCCATGTTGGCAGGGCGTGTGTTTCCGATGGTGTTTCTCTCGCTTGTGTTTGCCGGGATATGAGCCGTGTCGTCAAATTGTCATCCGTCTGCAGAACATAAATGTTTTTCATTAATGTCCAATTGACACGTGTGTGAGGAGTGAGTAGAATCACTCTTAATTACCACAATGTTCATGTGTTTATTACAACCAAAACGATCTCTGCCGTCACCTACGTTTCAGAGAGAGAGAGAGAGAGAATCAGGCGGCGAGAGCGTCTGTTGAGACCTGCATGGAATCGGGGTTTGCATGAAGCGAATGGGACGTGACGCCGGTTCCTCTGTGCAGGACGGAGTGCAGCATCCAGCAGGGCTGCTGTTGAAACCTTTGGAATGCGAATCATTCTCAGTTCTACGGCTCAGCGAGGGGACAGAACCTCGAGTCAGGGGCCGCCGATGGATCGATGGTTCCTGCTTCCTTGTTCAAGGGGGCCACGAAGTCCAGAATGATTGACGCGGGGGTTGGGAATAAAAAAAAACTCTAAACTCTGGAAATGAGAAGCCCTCCGCTGAAGTGCGCTAATAGGGGTTAGCTGGTCGCCTGATACTGATCGGTTTAAGTCTACGTCTCCACTCTCTGCTCGCGATCCCGCCCCTTGTTCACAATCTCCTGACAGAATCAGAAAAACACATCATGACAACGACGGGCAGTGATGAGGTGAAGCCCGTTGCTTATTGATTCCCCGTATTGAACCGGCCCAAACGATGCTCAGTAGCAGACAGGAGTCGATGTGCAAAGAGTGCTGCAACTCGATATCTTCATATTTAGTACTTTCAATGTTTGTCTCTGTCCTTTCTAAAGGCACAGGAGACTCAAGATGTCCCTGCCGTTGACCATGTGTGTCCTGCAGATGCATTTATGCCTCAAATACGTAGACAAAGACAAAAAGCCACCTGCAATGGCAGAGAACAATTTAAATAGCTTTTTTTAATATACGCTGTTTAATTATATGCATTTTTAAATGCCCAAGCACAACAAGGTAGAATTATAATATAAGTATGAGTCCTACAAGAAAAAAGCTTGAAATTCCTCCTGCTTAGATTTTCATCCTGTGGCCATATTGTCATTGTGATAGAGCTTCGATGTGTGAGTACGGAGTGCAGATTACTGCAGGCCAGAAGAGAGAATCAGCCAATCAAAGGGCTCGTGCTTAAAAACACACCAATGTGTGTTTTGTCTCCTTTTTTTCTCCTTTCCTGTAAATGACCCAAAAGAGCCAATGGAAGCGGTTCCAGCTCTGAGGTCATGTTATTCAGGTCGACGCGGTCTGAAAAATGCGATGGCGGCACTCAAAAGGAAACAGCCATGAGCCAAGCTGAGAGAACAGTGAGAAACCAGGACCAACAGGGCCGAGTGAAGCCAGAACTGATGTTCTCAGAGTGACATTTTGGTCACAGATTGAGGTCCTATGGTAAAACAAAGCAGATATAAATGTCACAGCAGGTCACCTCTAATAAAGCCTCTTCAGAAATCACTTTCCTCACTTCAAAATGTGTTCCCGGTAACGTGTAAACAGAGGATTCAATGCTGCACTTCCATAAAGCCGTGGTGCAATTTTATAAAAATAATTTATTTTCAATTAGGTCACCAGATATCCAGACTTCTGGGGCCAAATGTGTTGTTGAAGCTCCAAAGAATTACTTTTTTTTTAGAAGTCTGGAGCTACAGCATCAAACAAATACCCCAAAAAATACTGGACTTTCCCTTTAAATATATTGATAGCAAACAATATCTAGCGCTTAAAGTCTCAATATTAAACCAGGATCTTTCCCCTCAATATTCATCTCAGCAAAACGGTCCCAAGTAGTGTTTGCTCGTGACTTTTTGTTCCTTTGGGTCGATGTGGTCATCCAGGTCAAAGTGAGGCACGAACATGAACAATCTGTTCTGTTAAGACCGTGCAGAGGCTTTGTTTCGTCCCGCTGCCTTTTCACTTAAATATAAGTGAAATAAATCCAGCTTTATTAATCCCGACGGGGACAACTGATTCAAGCACTAAAAGGTGATTACTGGCGGTCTCATGCAGTGATTCAGTACTAATTATCTTTGTATGTGCCTGCTTCATGCAAAGACATCCTCCAGATGGTCACTCACAAGTCTGTGCCTGCTCACATGTGTGTGTGTGCTCAAAGTTCTTGCCCGGCATTGATGTAAAACGCGCAAATGATTTTCTATGCTCTCTCCTTGCTTGCTCTTTCTTATTCACCACAGGAAGCTTCCGTTGAAGGAAGAAAATGGGAAAGAGTCTCTCAAGCCGGATACGATTGAAATCAAAGTGCACGGCGACAACAGCATCCACACAAAGGTCGACGACAGCAAAGAGTAAAAGGGTTCACATCGCCACCAAAAGAACATTTCGGATCACCAAAACCCAGAGAAACTACAGCACTTGAAAATAGTGGAGTAAAAAACCATATCAGTTTATAACAATGCCCCAGTGTCAGGCGTGTGTAAATAAAAATAACAAAGAGAAAGAGAAAGGGTCTACCTTTTAGACACATGTATCATGATCTGAACAAACATGGCATCAGTGGAAGGCTCTTCTTGATCAATGATTGTATTTTTTTTGTCCATAACTGATTCACAGTGTGTTGCAGGGAGATCAGAACAGCACACACGTGCATCCACGCCACAGTTAGCAAAGCATTTGATATTGTTGCTTTTTCTCACACATTATGTGCATAAGTATGATTTATTCATGTGTTGAAAATTCGCACAAAGATGTGCGCTGTGGTGTGCAGCTTGAAAAATGTATTGACAGGCCACGAGAGGCCCGAGTGGTGTCATGTGATCGTTGCTACGTGAACGGCAGGACTCAGGACGCGGGGACACCCGAGCAAAGGTTCGCTGACGAAAAATAAATCAATATGTGTCATGATTGTTTTTAATGTTACATTTCTTTTAGTGTTTCCTGATTGCTATTCTCGCTGATCTTGTCATGTGTTGTAAATAGGTGGGAGAAAAAAAAGAATATTTTACAGAGCTTTTATGTAAATATACCCTAAAGGAAGTGTCTTTTTTCAAAATTCCACAAACTCCTCAGATGAAAAGCTGTACTTTTCTTTTTTTTTCTTTTGTGTTTTAGTCCAACGTTCAGTGATGGTGTAATACTGCTTCTTCTAGTTAGGAAATCCACGCCCTAAAGGCCGTTTCACGCTGTTTCAGTGGAGACTGTAATCGCGGCGTTAGTGTCCCCCCCCCCCCCCCCTCCCCCATCTCCCCCATTATTTCTCCTCCCTCCCTTGTGGCCCGATGCCGCTCCAGAGACCTTGAGATGATTTTTGATCGTGCCGCTTTTTGCCACAGAATGTGGGTTTCCATCGTGGTGCTGTGAATTCTGGGACGTGTAGTTTTAGGATTGTAGTCAACACTGGACAGAAACGTACGTGTGTTATTACGAATGTCAGGTGGATGCTGCAAGTCTGGAGTGACCACAGAAATACGCGCGCGTGTGTGTGCGTGTGTGCGTGTGCGTGCGTGCGTGCGTGCGTGTGCGTGCGTGCGTGTGTGCGTGCGTGCGTGCGCGTGCGTGCGTGCGTGCGTGTGTGTGTGTGTCTGTGCGCGCGCGCACATCAGTGAATGAGCGTCTAGGTCTGTTGAATGTATCTTTTTGAAGGTGTGCTCATTTAGATATTTCACAATAACAAGTAATACCCAAAATGAAAGATTAGAAATAAAGGTATTCTGCCATTTGTTTTGCCTTAATTTATTTTTAGCTTAATTATCTATTTATATTAGATAAAAAGTGCAATAGTGAGTACACCTTTCCGTCTCATGGTGCAGCTCTGCGGGTCTTATTCAGTTGTATGTGATGACCTCGTGCCAAGAATGAATGTCCAAGTGCTGTGAGTGAGTTTCAGAGTGCGCTCTGACAGGTCAGAACTGGTTAAGTAGTTCTCCGCGGTGATTAAGTCAGCACTCCCCCCCCCCCCGCCACTTCTTACTCTCATTGTTTTTCCCTTCATCCCAGACGTCATAGCAGTGGCTTTGTTTTCTCCCAATGAGCCCTCGTACCTGCATAGACCTGTAAACGGATGGTCCTGCCATGGGGGGGTCCGGCTGCCTGTTACGATGCCTGTAAATATGGGAGCACAGTGCCTGGAGGCTATACAATTTGTACATGTTCTTTTGTATTTGAATATGAGTCTAAACCCCCCCCCACCCTCCTCTGTCTCCTCCGCCATGCCTTTGTCCTTTTCCTGTAGGGGTAAAACAGCTGTGCTTGAGCTCAGTGTACAGTGTGTGTCCTCTTTGTCCCCATGCTCCCGTGTCCCTGGGACCGTCCCTGCTGAGTGTGCTTTGTGCAGGAGGTGGGAACTATTGATGTCTCTCTGTACGTACCCGTGGAAGAGTTGTGACTCCTGACATTTTCCGCTGTAAATAAACATGGTAGAAGAAAGCAAGCGGTTTTCCGTTCATTGTTTTTCTGCCTTTTCAAAGCTACTTTCAAAGGGATTTACTTTTATTCAAAGGCTCATTTTAGGAGAGTAAAGCAGAATATAAAAAATAAATACTAACATCAGTAACTCTATATAATTATGATGCTAAAAGTTTTGAATTGTAGTAAACAACCTAAAAACTGGTTTAATTTTAAATGTTCATGCAACCAACATGTCTACCTATAAACGCAGTTCACCAATGTGATAGTAAGAAACAAAAGAAGCCGGGCGAAGTATTAAATAAATACACAGTAAGAAGTGGGAGCATTAATGAAGTAAAGTAGCACAGACCACCACGAGGAGGACAGTGAATACTTCCTTATAATCCTCTGCATAGTGAACGAGACTTCACTCAAATTAAAAAAAATAAACCCAGAGAGACTGATTAAAACCCCAAAGCTGCCCCCTCCCAGCCAGCATTTTTTGGTTGAAAATACATTGAAAAGCCATCCATGCCCGACGTTGAAAAGACGTTGCAAAATGGTTTAAAAGTTAGTTTTTTCAACGTCTATTCGCAGATGTTAAGACCACATTCAACGTGATTTTTAATACGGTTAATACGCTCTCATTTGTGCTATATCATTATTTTAGAGCTTTAAAAAGAAACAACGTCCACATTTGTAAGTTGACCACCGATATTATAAATCACATTGAAAACGGGTCTATTCGTGAACGTCTTCAACGTCTACGAGTAGAAAACTCCACTTTTAAACCAATTTGCAACCTCTTTTCAACGGCGGGCCATAGACGTCTTTTAAACGTCGTTTCAATGTTGAAATGATCGCTGGTTCTGAAGGTTTTGAAGGTCTAAACATGAACTTAAAGCTGTACAGTACAATCAATTCCTATGACATAAATTATTCAAATATTTGGGATTATTAAGGTAGGTGTAAGGCAGGACCAGTGCAGGGACAACCTCCATCAGATTCAACCACCACCCACAGAAAGCTGTGAGGGAAATCACGTCATTTGGGTTCATGATGACAGTAATAGACTAATAATAATGAGACCAGCAGCAGGTGGATTAGATCCCTCATTTATAGACGATCTGTATTTAGCCCCCATTGCTTTAAAAACGTATTTTCAATATGAAATGGGAAAGGCACTTAATATTTATGGGAACAACAACAACCTTCACGCATTAGCAACACCAAACACACGAAAAATATTGGGATGTTTACTTTTGGTCCAGGTCATCATGCTGCACGCTAGCATGCTCCAAGCGAGCATGCTAACTAGCAAACTACCTACGCTAACTATCTTACCAAAAAGGACCGTCTTTCCCGTATCCGGTGGGCAGCACACGTAAAACAACCGGTTATAGTTCCAGGTAATACAGAGCATTGGAGCCGGTAGTCGTGGTTCTATCAGCCCGTTCATGTCGCTCTGCTGCGTACAAACTTCGCCTCGTGCTGCATCCGGTCGAAGCGCTGCAAGCGGCCAAGAACTCGCGCGTTACAGATGTGAGCGGAGTTACGTATTTACGTAAGTAATGTTTAACACTATGTCCTAAAAACATCTTATTAACAGCACACAGTCCGTAGTTTTATATTTATGGCGTTTTAAGTGAAATATTAAATACGTTGAAATCACGTCTTTGCGTAGACCAAATTTCGCCGACAAATTCCTTAATTATTATGAAAATCTTAATGTTAATATCGTCTCTCTTTCAACCTTACGTTACAACATGACACATTTATCAACAAATTGACGTTTTTTAGCACGTTGATGGTTCATCCACTTTTTAGCCGGTTGATAAGACGCTGAAATGAGGTCTTAGACGTTCAGACCTCATTTCAACCAGATTTCAACGTTGAAATTACGCCTTGTGCTCAGTTCAAGTCCGCTGAAGAGACACCGAAGTCCTCGCTTCAGTCACGTGGTAGTCTGACTGCCGATGACACACGCAAGCAAACGCACACTGGGTGCATTGAACGCCGCTGGGAAGTCACAGATTGCGCAGTCAGCCTTCAGGTGATATTTCCCCCCAAATCTCTCCGTTGGCGAGGACTCCCGTGATACGGTGCCCCAACAGCGCCCTAATCCCAAATAGAACAGAACTCCCCGCCATTGTGGAGGTTCCACTCCTGAATTAAAAGTTCCTCCACATGGGGGCTTTTTTTGGCAGGTACCATCCCTCTGCCTCCATAATCTGCTTAATTTCAGGCCGTCCCAGCAGCGAGGGGAGCGGTCTGTGCATCCACCAATCCTCGTTCCACGGGTATTTTTGCACCCTTCGTTACACTTCGGACCATTTACAGCCTCCTGAGACCATACGTCCGTGCTGAGAAGGTTCCCTGTAGCCGTTGACATGTAATCAGGTACATATAACTCATTTGGAGGTTAAAGTTGCTCCGGGGCAGAGCTTGCGTCACCTCTGACCTCTGGCGGTTACTGCTTGAAGATGGGTGTTGTTTCGACACGTCATATGGTAACGGGTTTGGTCACGTGGCAGGTGAAGCCGCGAGATGAAGGACGGATGCAGATATCTAAATGCTAAAAGCAGAACGGCTCCCTCAGGACCTGCATGAAGAGTTGAAAAGGTGAGCGCTCCTTTCTCCGCGTTTGACTCAGCAGATTCCCGTAGCACTCGGTAAGCATTTCTATCGCTAGGTTCAGCGAGGAAGCATCACTTAGCGTTCCTATGAAAGGCACTGCGTGCCCACGTCCTCTTTCATTTGCGGCGACCGCTGAATGCATCCGTCAAACTCAACATGACCCTGTTAACTGACAAGAAAAGAGGAGGGACTGAGAATTCCTAATACCTTCAATAACTCGCTGACTTATGCTTTATGAATTCAAGATGAGGTCATTTGGAGGCTTCTTTGGGAGCGGTTAATACGGAAGAGTGGAAGAAAACTAGCTGGGGAATGAAAAGAAAGCCGCGTCACCTCTGCGTTTCTTATTAAAAGCAACCAAACATCAACCGGTGAACCTGGTGCTGTCCCAACAGCTCTGGAGGGAACAGACACACAATGCAGAAGACAGATGAGATCTTCAGTTATGTTCACACGGCAGGCGCGGCCTTCAAAGACACTGAATAAGTTACTTCAGGTTGTAACTCTTTCAAAGTGACGCAGTGCCTTCAAAGAGAAACACGTGAGGTGTGTCGAGGGCTTTTGATATTCAGGGCAGGCACCGATAAACACATTAGGATGGAGATCGGGACGCTGACGCCGGTCACTTTATCTCTTTCATTATAAAGCTCAGAGCTACAGGAGACGTAATTGAGTACCTGCACACACAGCTGGGCTGTGAAATACCTTTTTGTGCTGGATGAAAGCACACTTCTTCATGCAACAGAGACGTTTCAGCGCACCAGTTGAATTTATTTTCCTTGCCGGAATCAGATCGCAGTGAATGGATTTCATCCCCTATGAAAGAAAATGCTGCGCTTTCCTTTTTCATATGAATAAAGCCTGTGATAAATATTGAAATCAAATTTTGCAACAGTTAGTGTAAATGTTTCCTTGTTTTCGGGTGGAGCGGTTGGATGTGCTACGTCACAGACAGCTGACCAGGTCCCACAATAACATCCTTTTTCAACAGGAAGTACCTCACACTTCCAGGAAGCAGGAAGTTCAAGCTTTGTGTTGTAAATTCAATTGATATTTTACTAGCTCAGTGCGTCTTACTCTGAGCTCGTAGCTCGCCTACTAACAGAGAGCTAACAGTTGATAAACAGCGGTAAGCTAACAGCTTTTCTGCAGGCTGTTCACTTCCAATTCATTTAAAAACAGGAGCTTAGTTGGAAACTTTGGTCCTGAATTTGAAAGTCAGCCAGGTTTGCTCGACTCTGAATTCCCAAAGTCCTTTCACAGTTGTTTGAAAGTGAATTAACACACAGCTGGATTAAAGACAGCTAATATCAGCTAATCATGCTAATTCCGTGCTTTTAGGATTAATGAGCCCGTCGCTCTCCAGTGAAATCTGCGTGTATCTAAAATGTCTTTTTCTAGGACAAAAAAAACCCTTGATAATTCACAATTAAGCTTAGTGACAGTGTTTTTGCGATAATCCCATAAATATGACAAAATGACAAAAGGAAAGACTTTATTAACAGTTTGAAGCTTTCTTCCAGGAGAAGCCGGAAGCGAACCGGATTCACCCCGAGACAGCAGAGCCGACGCGCTCGTCCCTTTAGACGACGGCGCGTGGAAGCCGGAGGTACGACGCGCCGCCCTGCGCATCGCACCGCGACCTGCATCCCGCGTTAGATCTCATCTTCTCCTCACGAGGTTTATGACCGACAACCCGCAGCCTGTTGGCATGCCAACTCAACGCGGCGGTGTTGTAGCGTCGATGTACAAGGACCAACCACCAGGAGTTTTTTAACGATACTTGTCTTCAGTGATAAATATCCGGAGAACGTATTTGCATCTATCTGTTAAAACTTTTCGGGTGACTGTGGTCTGCTGCAACGGGCCCGACTGCTGATTTCAATCACAAGCCCCAGTCACACAAAATAAGTCCTCGGTTCAAGTCATTCCGTTTGCGTTTTATACATTTCGCTGATGTTTGCTGGGAAGCAGTTTAATGTGTTGCAGAAGAATACTTCGCACTCACCCGATGTTTGACGATTTGACGTGTGCGTCTCCAATTATGATGCTGTCCCTTTTAGCGCCGGGCCTTCCGCTGAGCGCACACTTTGGCCACACGTCTCTTAAAGCCGGTATAGATGATTACAGTTGCAGAATAGCTCCATGGATAACGGAGCGCAGCCTACGGATAGAATCCCCACCAATAATTGAGTGCGTGGTGGAGTGTATGTCAAGCTATTTGCAAACCTTTCATGAGCTGTGGTATTCTTCTCTATTAGCCTAATGTGTGAGTTACTCATCTCCGCTTTGTGCGAATTTATATTGGATTTTTATTAAAACTCAAACCAACGGTAATGGTTGCGCCTCTGGGGTAGCTTTAGAAATCAATTTACTAAACAGCACCGAATTACCCCCACAATTGTC